GACAAGTATCTTTTCTCTCCATAATCAGCTGGGTCCTTTCCAAGTTCTGCTTTCAGAGACCCTTCCTTCTCAGAAATAAGCTTTTCAGAATTATTATTAAACATTAAAGGCAGCTTGGAGAAATCCTGGTGCACCCTCTTTAAACATTCCCCACCCAGCCAGGCCTTCTTTAATAACCACTCGGTGACTTATAAAGAAAGGTTGAAGGATAATTTGCTTGTTCATCACAAAGCTGTCATTTCTGTGCAGCAAATAAAGTGGGAGGGGCGAGCCTGTGCATTGGCACAATGTCTTTTATCAATACCTCTTGATGATAAATATGCCTCCCTGCTCTATATTGCACTGTTTTGGAAGGGTGAGTGGGTTCCTGAGAACCACACGACGTTTAAAATTGGTGCCTTTACAGCAGGGTGTAAATTTTGATATTAACGTTCGAAAGGCCACCCACGAAAGGTGTGTGATTATACCATTCTCCTTGAAACCGAGAAATAAAATAAAAAGATGTGTAGGGAATCCCTTTCTCTTTGATCCAGAGCCCCACCATACAGGGAGTTCTCGGCTAACAACAGTTCATTTAGTGACCGTTTGAAGTTACAATGGCACTGGAAAAAAAACCTGACTTATGACCATTTTCACACTTTATGACCGTTGCGTCATCTCCGTTGTCACGTGATCAAAATTCAGCTGCTTGGCAACCGGCCAATATTTATGACGGTTTTTAGTGTCCTGGGGGTCACATGATCACCTTCTATTCTTTTTGCCTGGTTTCAACAGCTTTACTCTACTTGTATTACCTAATGCAAGAATTTGCAGACTTAGGGTAGCACTTAAACTTTGAATGTGGGAGCCACACTTAAAAAAAACAAAAAAACAAATCAGGCCCCAAAAAATCTGATTTAATTTAAATATTCCTGATGTTTTAATCTTGTTTTCTTTCCCCCACATTAACATTTTCATTTAATTGATAGCTTTGAAAGGGGCTAATTTGGAAGGCTGCTTTCCAGCCCAGGGCTAAAAGTTATATTTCTGCTTTATGTGGATGCACAGGAACGCATGCTAGTTAGGAAACACACGTGAGCGCTTTTATCGAATTGCAATAACTATTTTGGGCCACAGGAGGGTTTGCCAATAAAAAGGACAATGTGGGTCTTTTTTGGTAGTTAAATAGCCTCCTCTTTCCTGCAAATTTTGGGGGGGGGGTTGCAAGAAGAACAGTGGAGTAAGTTACACAAGTGCGCAGAAGGTTTCTTGCACATCTGCTTGGAAGTGCATCATTGGGACCATGGCTAAGCGGAACGGTGGTTAAGTGAGTCATGCCCAATTTGGCAACCTTTTTGCCGAGGTTGTTAAGCGAAGCACCGGAGGGGTTAGCTGAACCATTCTGTCATTAAGTGAACCCGACTTCCCCCGTTGACTTTGCTCATCGGATGCCAACTTGGAAGATGGCAAATGCCCATTACGCGATCCCAGGACGCCGCCAGCATCATCGCTACATTGCCAAGTGCCCAAATTTGGATCATGTGACTATGCCGCGGTGGTCATAAGTGTAAGGACCAGTTATAAGTCACTCTTTTCAGTACTATTGCAACTTTGAACAGTCATTAAACAATGGTTGTAAGTTGAGGACTACGTGTATACAACAGAATGTGGGCAGCTGGAAGGGAGCCCCTAGACCAGGGGTAGGCAACCTGGCTCTTTTATGATTCCTGGACTTCAACTCCCAGAATTCTTAAGCCAGCATGGCTCAGCTTGGAAACCTCTCCCTTTCCCCTCAGCATGGCTGGCTCAGGAATTCTGGGAGTTGAAGTCCACCAGTCATAAAAGAGCCAAGGTTGCCTATCCCTGCCCTAGACCAGGTAAACCATGGGAAGCTGTTATTGCGTGCACAGGAATGATTTATCAAAGGTGCTGTACTTGTGGCACAGCACATATTGAAATCCTTTGAACTTAATTAAAAAAGGCTCCCTTGCTAGATCTAAATTTGCGTTGTATAAAGCTTATGTCTTCTATACTGCAATGCATCTTATGTGCTCAATAAGGCGGTCTTATGTTCAATAATTATTCGGTCCAGCATAGTTATTAAGTAATAATAATCTGGAGCACCACTTGAACACACACCATCGGCATTGACAAAAAAATCACCATCGGTCAATTGCAAAACGCAGCTTTACTTGGAACAGGGTATAGCCTGTGACGATTTCTTTAACCCCATCAAACAACAACTTCTGCCTATCCCAGGTACTTGGGAAGCACTCAATAGGTGGATAATAATGCCAAATGCAAGTCTAAAAACATCTGGCTGACTGGGGGGGGGGAACCACCAATAATAATAAATATATTATCTTCCTGGGTGTATGCGAATGCAATTTGAAACCAGCAAACATTCCCAGCGGATGTCTGTCATACATCTATTTAAAATAATTAACTTATCTTTCAACCTAGAAAGTCACCAGGTGGCTCACGACAGCTGTTAAAATATAATTAAGCAGAAAACCGTTATTTAATAATAACCGTATAAAAGGAAGGTGGAGAAGAAAAAAAACCACATTAACGGAATTGGAAGAATGCAGAACTGAAGAGATGCAAGCTGTTTCAAATGAAGGATTTCCCCCCCCCCCCTTGCACTTAAGGGAAAAATAAGGCAGCCTTATTTAGGACGAAAATTCCAGAAATGTTGGGTGTTGCTTTGTGTATTCTGTTCTCCCGTTCTCCAGCCATGTGCTTGCGACATTTTAGATTATCTACGGGTGTTATAATACCCAGTTATGAAACCTCCACACTACACACACACACCCTCCCCAAATGGCTCCATAAAATCACTTCCGTGGGGTGCTTTTAGTTTCACGTTTTGAGATCCTGGAAGAAAATGTCTCCACCACACAAGTTCCTCCTTTCTCGTCCATTTCGACCCAAGTGGATAAACAAGTATATCATACACATCTGCTTTTTTGCTGCATGTTGTAAGTTCCCCAGCTGTTCTTCATTACCGTCTGCATTTTGCATGGACCGGATTGCTATGGTTGTCAGTAAACAGATAATGGACATGTGCCATTTAAGCTGTGCACTTGCAGACACAGCCCTCCCCCCCCCCCAATTCCCCATATTTAGTTGCCTGCCCCAGGACACGCTGTGTTCAGCTGTCACTCTAATCAACGTTTGGAATTTCTTATTCTACTGTTGTTAAGTGTGAACGACACATACTTCATTGTGGGACATCTGTTCTGCCATTATAGGCTGGGCATGGAATTCGTTCTGTTGGGGGAGAGGGGGGAAACCCCCCCCCCACCAAGCTACTTGATGTTTTCTGACCGCCAATTTGTAGTGGCATCTTGTCCTGAAGGTGGGAAACTTCAATCCCGGCGTGATGTATGCGGACTGATTGTCACACTCAAAATGGCAGGAAAATTCAGTGTTATTTAGAGACAGACATTCAGTCTAATTCCTGTGCACCCAACTTAACCTCCATTTATTCAGTGCCTGTTCGAAGTTACGTCAGCACTGGGGGGCAAAAAGTGACTTTGGGACCGTTTTTCATCCCTACGACCGTTGCACCATCCTCCACGGACATGTGACCAAAATTCGGATGCTCGGCAACTGGCATGTACTTGTGACGGTTGTACTGGCCTGGGATCATGTGATTGCCCCTTTCTGACAAGTAGAGTCAAAGGGGGGAAGTCACTTAACCACCGTGTTACCATACTAACTTAAAAAAACGGCAGTGCTTCATTTAACAGCTGTGGCGAGAAAGGTTGTAAAACGGGGCAGAACACCCTTAAGAAATGTCTCATTGGAGGATGGAAATGTGGGGGCTCCCTTGAGGTCCTAAGGTGAGGACTCCCTTTACCCCAGGGGTCTTCCAACGTGGCCCTTTGATGACGTGTGGACTTCAACTTCCAGAATTCCGCAGCCAGGCATGGTGGCTGAGGGATTCTGGGAGTTGAAGTCCACAAGTCATCAAAGGGCCAAGTTGGAAGACCCCTGCTTGTGGACTTCAACTCCCAACATTCCTCAGCCAGCGGGCCCAGCTGAGGAATTCTGGGAGTTGAAGGCCACACGCCATCAAAGGGCCAAGTTTGAAGCCCCCTGCTTTATCCGATCACAGAGATAGGATAGGCTGCTTTCATAGGACACTCAAAAGCAACCTGGATTTCCTTGAGGGGCTGGGCTGATGAAACAGCCGCAGAGGCTTGAAAGGCTTTCCTTTCGAGTGTGCTTGCAAGTTGGCTGGAGGAAAGGGCTGGCTGGCTGCCAGACAGAGCTGCTAGGACAGTCGCTGCGAGATCCTTATCATTCCAGAGAGATCAGCTGAGCCCTGATTGCTGGGAAAAATCTAGCCAGAAGCAACTCCAGTTTGGGCTGGGGGAAAAAAAAAAAAAAAAAAGCTTCCGCGTGTAGTCTTTGGCTTACAACAGTTCGTTTAGTGACTGTTCGAAGATGATGATGATGATGATGATGATAATAATAATAATAATAATAATAATAATAATAATAATAATAGAATAGAAGATAGAATAGAATACAATAGAATACAACAGAATAGAATAGAATAGGAATAGGAATAGAGCTGGAAGGGACCTTGGAGGTCATCTAGTCCAACCCCCTGCTCAGGCCGGAAACCCTATACCATTTCAGACAAATGGCTGTCCAGTCTTTCTTAAAAACTTCCAGTGTTGGAGCATTCACTGCTTCTGGAGGCAGGTTGTTCCACTGGCTAATTGTTCTAACAGTCAGGAAGTTTCTCCTTTGTTCCAGGTTGCTTCTCTCCTTGATGAGTTTCCATCCGTTGCTTCTTGTCCTGCCTTCTGGGGCTTTGGAGAGAATAGTTTGACCTTCTCTTCTTTGTTACAAAAGTGCACTGTTCTATGTTCTACGAGAAGGGGCTTACCCCATTTCCCAAGCGCCATGCCTTGTGAATTGCAAGCGAGATGCATAGATTCTGGAGGGCTCCATTTTCTGATTTTAGGATTTAATGAGCTGCTGTTTTCTCTCTCTCCTTGCAGTGAGCATTTGTCCTGCGCCTTCACATTCTTCCTCCATGGAGAAAGCAATGTGTGTACCAGTGTGGAGATGGCACAGCACCAGCCGATCTACCTTATCAGCGAGGAACACCTTCACATGGCCCAATCTTCTCCTATGCCTTTTCAAGGTAGGTTGTGTGTCCTTGCGTAGGGCGCAGGCTTCTCAGTTGTGACATGACCTGGGACAAAACTTTTATTAAATCGTCGGTTGTGGGTTTTTTTCTTCTTCTCGCCAATAGCCGTGGCTGTGAGGCCAGTGGACTTACTTGCACTAACTCTGAACGCTCTCCTTCTGTTTTCCCTTGGGATAACTTCCATCCTGAATGGAATATATATGTCTGTTAATCTCAAAACTGCCTGTTCTGGGCCACTCCAAAGCATTTCGGTTCTCTTATCGCAACCATCGCCTTTTTGATATGGACAAAAAGGGACTTGTTGGCTACAGCCTTTTAAGAGAAGCAGACCCCACATTTAAGCCTTCAAAGGAGAATATTTGTAGTTGAAAGGAGGATCCCTTGGGGTTCTCTAGGTTGTTTCCTTGTAGACCAGTGGTTCTCAACCTGTGGGTCGGGACCCCATTTGGGGTCGAACGACCATTTCATGGGGGTCGCCAAACCATGCTGTCCACCATTTTGTTCCCTTTTCCCTAGCTGTCCTACTCCCTCTTATTGGTGGCCACACCCCACTTGGGGGTCACCACAACATGGGGAACTGTATTATGGGGTCACGGCATTAGAAAGGTTGAGAACCACTGTTGTAGATGTTTCATTACCCAACTAGGTAACATTATCAATGGTCGTCACTAACACTAATGATGTTACCTAATTGGGTAATGAAAGGTCTGCAAAAAAACAACCCAGCTCAGAGATCACAAAGGATGTCGTCTCCTCCTCCTCCTCCTCCTCCTCCTCCCGCAAACCTCATTCCCTTCTAGCATTGATGATGTTACCTAATTGGGTAATGAAACGTCTGCAAGAAAACAACCCAGCTCAGAGATCACAAAGGATGTCTGTTCCTCCTCCCTCCCTCCCTGCCTAACTCCCTACCTCCCTCCCTCCCTCCCTCCCCAAACCTCATTAACTTCTAGCACTGATGATGTTACCTAATTGGGTAATGAAACGTCTGCAAGGAAACCACCCAGCTCAGACAGCACCAAAGGACCCCAATTAAGCCTTCATCTGTAAAGTAGAAAGATTCTTCCCTTTCTTCCAAATGTGTTGTCTTAATTTCATGGCTCATTTTACCTTCACCCCCCCCACACCCCTTCAGTTTAAAGCAGTTCGCTTTAAAACAATTTGCCGTTCTTTTTTTCGTGCCAGGAAAAAAAAATTAACCTAGTTTGGAATGGCGTGCACATTTAATGGCTGTGCACTTTGGTCAGGATTTGTCTGAACCCTGGCAAACCATCATCAGAGAGAGGGTCCAACTTAAAGTACAGTCAGTCCTCAACTGACGACCACAACTGAGCCCTAAGTTTTGGGGGCTGAGAAAGTTGTTGAGTGAGTTTTGTCCCATTTTATCACCTTTCTCGAGTGATTCGCTTAACAGTTGGGGCAAGAAAGGATTTAAAATGGGGCAAAACTCACTTATTCACGTCTCGGAAATGTTGGGCGCAGCTGCGCTCGTACGTTGAGGACTCTATCTGGATCTTAATGGCAGTTGTCCCATCCTTTCTTAAATAGTAATAGTAGTAAAGTTGGAAGGGACCTTGGAGGTCATCTAGTCCAACCCCTTGCTCAGGCAGGAAACCCTACACCATTTCGGACAAATGGCTGTCCAGTCTCTTCTTAAAAACTTCCAGTGTTGGAGCATTTACTGCTTCTGGAGGCAGGCTGTTCCACTGGTTAATTGTTCTCACTGTCAGGAAGTTTCTCCTTAGTTCTAGGTTGCTTCTCTCCTTGATTAGTTTCCACCATTGCTTCTTGTCCTGCCTTCAGGTGCTTTGGAAAATAGCTTAATCCCTCTTCTTTATGGCAGCCCCTGAGATATTGGAATACTGCTATCATGTCCCCCCTGGTCCTTCTCTTCGCTAAACTAGACATACCCAATTCTAGCAACCGTTCCTTATATGTTTTAGCCTCCAGTCCCCTAATCATCTTTGTTGCTCTTCTCTGTACTCTTTCTAGAGTCTCAACATCTTTTTTACATCGTGGTGACCAAAACTGGATGCAGTATTCCAAGTGTGGCCTTACCAAAGCCTTGTAGAGTGGTATTAATACCACTCTACAATAATAGCTAGGATTAGGGTTAGGTTCTCTTTCCCTTTCCCAGTTATCCTGAATACACCTTGGCTTCCTTTCTTACCTTTAGATATTATCCAAGTTTTAACTCTGCTGCAAGGCAGGTGGATTTAAATCAAGGGGATATAAATGGATACCGGGGGCCCATAATAAAAAAATAATTTTTAAAAGGATGGATGGGGAGGAGAAGAGAGGAGGTTGAACCGTTTCCCTTATTAATTCATGTATTTCCTGAAGAGGTATGCATTTTAATGGGTTGCTGTAACAATTAGCTAACATTGGCTTGTAACTAAATAAAGCCCTTATGCTACCTTAGAGCGTAATCCATAACATTTGACCATGCTGTTTTATCCTTTTACATTAAATAATCAGATCTGCTTAGAGAGACAGGAGGAGGCGCGTTCTGAAATAATGAATTCCTGCCTTTGCCTGCTTTAGCGTCCATTCGAGTCATAAAAGTTCAATCAATTGAAAAATATGGGTATAGTCCCAACAGAAAGGGACGGTGTTTTTGGACTTACCTAAGAATTAGTGTGGTGTACAGGCTGTCCTCGTCTTACAGCCTGTCACGCGTGAAACTTTGGCAGCTACGTGCCTCTGCATTCCAACTTGCCTTTAGAGAAAGGGGTTGGGAGGTGTTGCTTTCAAGTGGGTGGATGGAGAAACGGAGCTGCTCTGATTCAGCTGCAGACGGTGGGAGCCCGCAGCCTTGTCAAGGACACCAGAACAGGTGTGGATTTGAAGCAGACGGTTCCCATAACAAAGTGGACTTGTTGATATGGATTACGCAAGACGTTGAGGGTTTGGCTGGGAGAACTATTGTTTAAGTCTATGAACTGCTATGGGGACCTCAGAGTTAGTTTCGCTTCGACGCAACCAAGCAGTGTACTCAATAAACAGTAAGATTTTGGGAAAGAGAATCAATCTAGAGTTTTATTTGGATTCCCGAGCTGGATGTTGACACAGCCATTCTTCTAGTGACCGTTCAAAGTGACAGTGGCACTGATAAAAGTGACTTTTAATCACTTAACAACACTTAATAACCGTTACAACATCCCCATGGTCACATGATCAACATTCGGACGCTTGGCAACTGGTTCATATTTATGACGGGTGCAGTGTTCCGGATTCACTTAACAAATGTGTTACTAATTTAACAACTGCAGTGATTTGCTTAACAGTTGTGGTGAGAAAGATCGTAACACTCACTTAACAACTGTTTTGCTTAGCAATGGGAATTTTAAACTCAATTGTGGTGGTAAGTCAAGGACTACCTATAGCGGTTCAGTCCTTGACTATCATCAGAGGGAGCCAGGTTTGAATCCACCTTCATCTAGGACAGGGGTAGGCAACCTTTTATGACTCGTGGACTTCAGCTCCCAGAATTCCTGAGCCAGCCACGTTGAGGGGAAAGGGAGTGGTTTCCAAGCTGAGCCATGCTGGCTCAGGAATTCTGGGAGTTGAAGTCCACGAGTCATGAAGGGGCCAAGTTTATCTACCCCTTGATCTAGGGAAATTCACTGGTTAATTTTGGCCACTTGTGTTCTTGCTCAGCCCAACAAACCTCACAGGGTTGTTGTGGGGGGGGGAAGTGCAGTAGGAAATGCTAGATAGGCTGCCTTGAGCTTTCTTCTTTGCCAGAAACAGGCATCTGATAATTAAAGAGCTTTTTTTTTTTTTTAATGAAACGGAAACACACTTCTCGCGGAAGGATACCTGATGTGACCTATTTTTAGAGCATACGATTAAAAAAAAAAGTGTCATCATTTTAATTCTTTCCCACTCGAGCAGATATTTTCCTATCATGAATCGTTCTCAAAACATAAAAAAATCTCAATGCATGGGCAGCAAAATTGACTATAATTATATTTATTTCCTCTGAATCGGTTTCTTCCCCCCTAAGAGATGCTTAATTGACTTTTAACTTGCTGGGTTTGAAACGCTTCCTTAAATTTTTCTATTTGATTAAGGATTGCCTCTCCCCTTTTTAGTTGCCATACCACATGGTTGTTAGTTTATTAATAAAGCTTCCCATTGCAGAACGGCCAAAATGTTTAGTGTTGTGGTAGCTGCTAATACAGGTCGTCTGCAAGCGAATCCTTGCAGGGTTTTTTTTATAAGATTTTATTAATTTTTTCCATACATACAATAATAATTTTTCAAGCAACGTGCTGTCTGAGTTTACATTCGCTAATACATATTTGATTCTTAATCCTTTCTTCTTTCCTCTAGCCATCGATAAAATAAGTCCCAAGTTTGATAATATTCTGTTTCTTCTTTTTCTTTCAGTCTCATAGTCAGTCTGTCCCTCTCTGCACATTCTAGTAATTTTTTTTAATTATTTCTTCATTTGGTAGTATTCCTTCATTTTTTCCAATATTGCGCAAATATGATTCTTGCCGCTGTTGTGACGTGCAAAATCAAATATAGGCTTTGTTTGTTAGTCTTTTCTGGCATTATACCTAATTAAAAAAAAAAAAGTTCAGGTTTAAAATCTACCTGTTCTCCCAACATCTTTTCTGACCAAGCATGTGTCTTTTTCCAATCATGCTTTACTTTATCCCATGTCCACCAAACGTGATAATACGTGCCTGACGTACGTTTACATTTGCAACATCTCTCTGACATGTTTTTAAACATGTTTGCTAATCTTGCTGGTGGCAGGTGCCATCTCTAAAACATTTTATATAGGATCCCTTGCAGCTGTTAAGTTAGTGACATGCAAACGATCCTTATCAGAACAAAGTTTCAATAACTCGGAGGGTTTCCTGGTCTTGTGGCTACACCTGGAATAATGCAATTAGACTGACTGTGGGCCATTGTGCCTCATAGCTTCCCACAGGTTTGAGTGATTTGGGGAATCCCTTGAGGAATCTAGACCAGAGGTCCCCAACCTTTTGGGCACCAGGGACTGGATCCGTGGAGAGAGATTTTTCCACGACTGGAGAGTGCATGGTTGTGTGTGCTGCCTGCATCCCGTGGGTGGGGCTTTGCTTGTTTGTGTGGACCGGTTGGTGGCCTGCCTCAGCCCGGTACCGGTCTATGGACCAGGGGTTGGGGATCTTTGATCTAGGTGCTGACTGCTCTGTTTTTCTTCTCTCAATCAGTGTTGATCAGTCCGTATGGCTTAAGTGGTACTTTAACGGGTCAAGGTTACAAGATGTCCGATCCGGCAACCAGGAAGCTAATTGAAGAATGGCAGTATTTTTATCCCATGGTGCTGAAGAGGAAGGAGAGCGTGAAAGAGGAAGAAGAGCTGGGATACGACGATGACTTTCCTGTGGCAGTAGAAGTCATTGTCGGTGAGAATCTGTGTTGTTGTTGTTTTTCTTGAAAAGTTCTCTTCGGCTTGATCGGTTCCAGTTGAAATGTAAAAACAAGACACCGTCTTGAACTAACGCATGTTTTACGGCAGTTCTTCTCGTGTTTTGATAACGTTCTTTTGTCTGAAATTTGATGGGTTTTGTTTTGAAACTTAGAACCATTTCAGACTATTTCTTTGTGTTTTTATTTAAGCATAAAAGCAATTCTTTCCTTCTTTCCTTCCTACCTACCTACCGCCCTACCTCCCATTTTCCTTCCTTCCTTCCTTCCTTCCTTCCTTCCTTCCTTCCTTCCTTCCTTCCTTCCTTCCTTCCTTCCTTCCTTCCTTCCTCCCTCCCTCCCTCCATCCCTCCCTCCCATTTTCCTTCCTTCCTTGCTACCTACCTACCTACCTACCTACCGCCCTCCCTCCCATTTTCCTTCCTTCTTTCCTTCCTTCCTACCTACCTACCTACCTCCCATTTTCCTTCCTTCCTTCCTTCCTTCCTTCCTTCCTTCCTTCCTTCCTTCCTACCAACCAACCAACCCACCAACCATTTTCCTTCCTTCCTTCCTTCCTTCCTTCCTTCCTTCCTTCCTTCCTTCCTTCCTTCCTTCCTACCAACCAACCCACCAACCATTTTCCTTCCTTCCTTCCTTCCTTCCTTCCTTCCTTCCTTCCTTCCTTCCTTCCAACCAACCAACCCACCAACCATTTTCCTTCCTTCCTTCCTTCCTTCCTTCCTTCCTTCCTTCCTTCCTTCCTTCCTTCCTTCCTTCCTTCCCACCCTCGTTTCAAATAATCGATGCGCATCCACACAAGCATGTAATTGCAGATGCAGTTTGCATGTCAAAATACGCGCGCTGCTGCTGTATTAATTTACAAATATAATCCTTAAAAAAACCCCAAACCCAACTATCTGTCTCAACTCCTGCCCTGCCTTTCTCTCTGCCTTCACAGGTGGTGTCCGAATGGTCTACCCGTCTGCCTTTGTTCTTATCTCTCAAAACGACATTCCCGTGTCCCAGAGCACTTCCACCCCAGGAAGCCACAGCAGCGTGACCCAACAAGGAGCTGGAACCTTGAAAGACACCAGCGGTTGTGGAATGTTGCTCACACCACCCACTTCTCCGGAGCAGACTGTCATAGGTATGTTTTCTTAGGAAGGATGTTATTTGAACCCTTGGCTTTTACTGCTAAGATTATTTCGTTCATTTGGCTGCGGGCATTGTGGCCTCCTCTTTATGAAACCATATCTTTCCTGAAACCTCTCTTGGTTTTTCTTTCTTAGCACACCAGATTTTCTTGTTTTCTTCTTGATGCACTAGGAATAAAAAAGCTCAGCCTGCCAGTATTCAGATACATAATGTAGTTCTGGCATCCGTTATCCTCTAGGTAGACATAATTGGTGAACATACTATTAATTATAGCAGTTGTTGCTTTTTTTCCTTCCATGAAACATATTTGCACAAATTAGAAAGACACGGAGAAAGCTGGAAAATAAGTCACTGGGCTGACATTTCAGAAGTACAAAAAACAAGAGGGAATAAATATACCTTAGGAAACTATTTCTCTGGGTGGATGTTGAACAGTTTCCCAGGAATAATAATAAGCAAGTAATATTTTTTTCTCTCTTAATTGGTGGAATGCCTAGCTGGCTCCCAGTATTTATGCTGTTTGTGCAAAAGTTTTGCTTTTTAATGAATTTCTTTCAGCCCTTCAGTGAAATACGAAGAAAGGGGAAGGAAATGTTTGTAGTGATAGAGTCTCCAGCTTAGTGCATTTTGAGAACATAGAATCATAGAGCAGGAAGGGACCTTGGAGGTCTTCTAGTCCAACCCTCTGCTCAAGACAGGAGACCTTATACCAGCCACTCAACTAGCTGTCCAGTCTTCACAACTCCAAAGCCCCAGAAGGCAGGACAAGAAGCAACTGATGGAAACTAATCAAGGAGAGAAGCAACCTGGAATTAAGGAGAAACTTCCTGACAGTGAGAACAATTAACCAGTGGAACAACCTGTCTCCAGAAGCGGTGAATGCTCCAACACTGGAAGTTTTTAAGAAGAGACTGGACAGACATTTGTCCGAAATGATACAGGGTTTCCTGCCTGAGCAGGGGGTTGGACTAGATGACCTCCAAGGTCCCTTCCAACTATTAGTAGTAGTAGTAGTAGTAGTAGTAGTAGTAGTAATCCAACCTAGAAATGAAAATAAATTTCAGTCAGAACAGTTCATCAGTGGAACAGCTTGCCTCCTGAAATTGTGGGTACTCCATCACTGGAGGTTTTCAAAAATAGACTGGACAACCACTTGTCTGGAACAGCATAGTGTCCCCTATTTAAGTCCAGGGTTGGACTACAAGACCTCCCAAGGTCCCTTCCACCTCTGTTATTCTGTAATTCTGTAATTCTGTAACCATTGTGAAGCTCAGGAAACCAATGCTGGTGGGACCAGGTTTTTTAAAACAAAAACAAAAAACGTGCAAGACGGGCATTTGTAAAATTGACACCCAGGAATTTGAAGTATTTCCCTCCCACAGCAAGGATTGCGTCATTGTTGAAAGCCAGTCAAGCCCGCATTCCTTGTCAACATAATGGCTGTTCCTTGCAGATCAGAAGCGCACCCAGATCCTGCCGTCCCGAGAGTCCTGTAGTTGTTTTTTTAAAAAAAAAAAAAAAAAGAGAGCAAGAACAGGGTGTCATTTCCAAGCTTTGAAGCCCCAGAAACAACAATCAGAAAAACTGGCTCCTTGTATTTTTGTCATCTCAGCAGCAGACACCCTTTCTCGGTGACCGCTCCGGTTGCTTTGGCTGTTTTCAGTGTTTTGTTCACAAGCCTTTTTGTGGCCATGCCAGACCTTAGAACAAGGAGTTCTGTAAACATGTTTGACCTTGTTGAGGATTTGTACAATTGCCCCCTTTTCCAGCCCAAGCCCAGCGTTGTTTTGACATGTGGTTAAGACGCTGAGCGAACAGCAGGCTCCCTCTGCTGCTTGGCTGGATGTGGTGAGTTGGCAGTTCCTTTGCAGTTGGAATTGCTTTCCAACCAGAAATCAGAAATGGGGGGGGTTACCGTCGCCAAGTAGAAGTCTCATCTCCTGCCTCTGATGGACGAAGCAGACGGCAAATCCCAAATACGTTTGTGAATGTGTGTCTGTGTGGGGAGGGTGTCCATAACCATACCCCAATCTTTTCGACAGTTCTCTCTCGAAAGTGCTATTAATTTGTGAATAGTATATATTCATTTTATCTAAGAGGCTGCCCCAAAAGGAGGCAAAAGGAGATCAAGCTATTCACCAAAGCACCTGAAAGCAGAACAAGAAGCAGCAGGTGGAAAATAATCAAGGAGAGAAGCAACCTGGAATTAAGGAGGAATTTCCTGACAGCGAGAACCATTAACCAGGGGAACAGCTTGCCACCAGAGGTTGTGGGTGTTTTTAAGAAGAGACTGGGCAGCCACTTGTCAGGAATGGCATAGGGTCTCCTGCTTGAGCAGGGCGGGAGTTGGAGAAGAAGACCCCCCCCCCAAGGTCCCTTCCAATTCTCTTACTCTTGTTATTTATACTTATTTATTTGTCATTAGATTTATAACATGGATGTAACCCCGATGTGAGATGATCAATACAATATTGATGGTTTGAGTATTATCACAGCTAGAGGTTTTGGAATTGTTTAGCTGCTCTATCCAGGCAGTAAACTCCTTCCCTTCTGACAAGCTGGGTTTGTCTGCATCAAATCCCAAACTTGGTTTGGGTCTAAAACCAAACTATCATTCGTTTGTAAACCTGTACAAGCTTTGGATATGTGCATTTCTTCACGTTTCCTCATTTGATTTCCTGTCGTCTTCCTTTTCATTTGTATTTTAAATCAGGATAATCCTGTTGCATCCTCCTCCCTTCCTCTTCACCTTTTTCATCGTAAATTACTACTGTTATTATGAATATCTGTTGCTTCCACGCTTTATTGGCTTTTAATGTTCGTAAGCCGCCCAGAGTCGCTTCTAGGCAGAATCGGTGGCAAACAAGTCTTAACACGCTCACAAACAAACTTAATACAATTGTCGAAAACATCCGCTTATGTCTTGCAGGCGACAGCGGAGGCATTCCAGCCATCATCAGTCATTCAGCAGCCCCAGATGGAATGGTCCCTATGCAGAGTCCCAAAAAATCGGGGAAGATCCCGCCCAAATTTCAGAACTGTATGGTCCACCGAGTTTGGAAAGAATGCATCCTCAACAGGACACAGTCCAAGTAGGAACATAGCATTTTCCGGGACTCTTTTGCTACAAAGTCATTATAATAGCATGCCTCTCTATGGACGTGTTTGTGTACGTGTGTGTGTGTGTGTGTGTGTGTGTGTGTGTGTGTGTGTGTGAGAGAGAGAGAGAGAGAGAGAGAGAGAGAGAGAGAGAGTAAATGGATTAATACTTTGTATGTCAAACTGAATGACTAATTTGGAGAATCGTGTTGAAGAACTGCTGGTCCTAATCTTGATGATGAGTTTATTGTGAGCCCTACCAAAGTGTCAGATGCGAAGAATCAGGACGAGATCCAGTCAAGTTGACGATGTGTGTCTTGGTTACATCTCGGATCCCCCCAAAACATATACACGTATATATGAAAGCGTGGTGATCTTGCTAGTGGTACCTCTGAAGACTGGAGCGGAAAGCATGAACTGTAAATCTTGTTTAGTAACAATATGCAGGTGTGCGAAAAAGCTCAGATGCTGCTGCACATAAAAACAGACTGGGTGCCAACGGTACGACAGAGTGCCGGGGAAGCCAACTTTTCTTTTTGCCAGGCTTGTAAACAATACATTTTGCAAAAGTGTGGCGCTCCATTCACGGAATAACTGATTTGAGAAAACCAAACTTTCAAAGCCGATTAAAAATAGCTTCATTTACCCCAGGAAGCCATGGTAATTCATTCATCCCCACTTACCTCTCGAGCTTATACATGCATAAATTCAGGCTTCCTAGCCTGCAGACATAGTTACCTATGTTTTAATTTCTACCAGAAGGAATCCAGTCCCCACGACCAATATGGAGGAAGATGCCCCTATCAGCTGTATTTCTTGGGATTTTGTTGATCCAGCCCAAAGAATCCCCTGCTCTTGTTCCAGGTTGGTATAAGGGAGAATTGCAAAAGTGGTGAATATCTGTAGCTGGGGTGTAGGATGAGCGTGGAGGTCTGTTCTCTGAGCTTGGGGGGGGGGTGTCGTTTTCCGAAGGGTTACATTACCAGGCTAGGTAACTATCTTCAGCGGTGTGTAGTGGATGTCAGTGTTCTCTTTATATAAGGGCTTCAGGTGTGGCAGTGTCGAGTGAGGGTCTTGTGATGGGCCAGGTGTGAGTCATCCGAGAGAGGCTGGTGATGGGGAGGTAACTTCAGATCCGGGTCTGTCGTTGCAGGGTGTGAATTATCTTGGGTCAGGAGTGAGTCGTAGTGGGAGGCTCAGTGGGTCTTGTGAAGGGGAGATTATGTCAGGTCAGGATGATTGGAAGGTGAACTGCTGGGGGGAGAGCGGGGGGGGGGCTTGAGGGTTGGTGCTGTCTCCAGGTGACTGATTGATTGATTTGGATTCCGAGGGGTTCGTACACTGGTTGAAGACCAACAGCTTGTGGTACGCGCCTTGACTTAATGACAGCATGTCCGTAGGTTGAGATCACACAAGCACTCAACACACACATACACACATTCCTGCATAGACAGCTACTTGTCTCTAGCTAGTTTGTGTGAAAGTCATGGCCGATTTGCCGTGGATAAATCACCCAAGCTGGGCAGAACCTCCGAAGGACCACCTGCTCTATCTGCAAGGTCACTTTTAAACTGGCTTCTCAATCAGACAGCTCTCTCAGCCTCTGAACAAATCTTTCCCCCGGGCATATTCTTTAGAGCAATGGTGTCCAGTCCCGGAAACCTTTAAGACTTGTGAACTCACGTCCGTAGGGCTATGTATGTGAGATTGGTGTCGTGCTGGTCTAGAGACCAGGAGATGGTGAGTTCTAGTCCTACCTTAGTAAGGCGTGAAAGCTGACCGGCTGACTTTGGGCCAATCACCAGATGACGGTGAGTTCCAGTGCCACCTTAGACCAAAAAAAAAAAAAAGCTGGCTGAATTCTGGAAGTTGAAGTCCACCCATCTTCAACTTGCCAAGGTTGAGAACCGCTGTTTTCAAATGAGAGTGTCCAACCTTGGCAACTTTTTTTTTTAGATTTTTATTAAGTACAAAGAAAAAAAAAGGATTAAAAACATTGAACATGGTAAATCGTCTTTGACTGACATCTCAGTCCATATTGTACCTTAATTACATATAATATACCTATATACAACTATACATTTCTAGTCTCTGTCTCAGTTTATCTCTTTACTGTGACCTCCATTTTTTTCCCCTTCATCTATAAAATTTATTCCATATTCGATAAAATTCTGTTTCTTCCTGATTTTTTAATCTTTTAGTTATCCTATCTAGTTCTGCGCAATACATGATTTTCTTTAATTAGTGCTTCCCCACTTGGTACTTCCATTGCTTTCCACTTTTGAGCAAATAGTATCCTTGCTGCTGTGACCACGTGGATAATTAAATATGTATCCTCTTTATTTACATTTTTCTCTAGTATTCCTAATAGTAATGTCTCCAGTTTATTTTGAATGTTTTGCCTACTCATTTATTTTATTTATTTATTTATGAGACTTATATACCGCTTTAAGTGCAAGCACTCTCTAAGCGGTGTACACCAGTAAGCTATGTATGTATGTATGTATGTATGTATGTATGTATGTATGTGTGTATATATATATATATATATATATATATATATATATATATATATATATATTGCTCCCAACAATCTGGGTCCTCATTTTACCTACCCCGGAAGGATGGAAGGCTGAGTCAACCTTGAGCCGGTGAGATTTGAACCGCTGACCTGCTGAACACAGTCAGCTAAATTTCTATTGCCCACTCCCAGACCATACGCCAGTACATCTGTGCTTCTCTACATGTCCACCATACATGAAAAAGGTGCCCTTTTCTTTTTTTACATTTCCAACACATAGATGAATATCCATTATACATTTTGGCGAATCTGGCCGGAGGGAGATGCCATCTGTAAACCATCTTATACAACCCAACCTTGGCAACTTTTCAGACTTGTGGACCCAGGAATTCTGGGAGTGGAGGTCCACGGGTCTTAACGTCGCCGAGGTTGGACATCCCTTGCTTTAAGAGCCCGTTGGCTAACTTCTTTCCAATTTCCTTTCTACTTTTTTTTTCCCTTTTCCCCCCAGGCACAAGCTCCTCAAGCAACGCTGTGCCGTGGCTTCCAGCCGTCCACCCACGATATCGCCGCCGGGCTTCGGAGGGGGAACCTCGTCCTCGTCCACCTTGCCCCCTCCCGCCTCTAAGCACAAAACCACCGAGAGGCAGGAGAAGTCGGAGAAAGTTCAGAAGAGGTCGTTGCTGCCGTTTCACCATCGTCCGTCGGTCACCGAAGAGCTGTGCATGGAGCAGGACCCTTCGGGGCCAAAGTTGGCCTTGGCTGGGGTGGAGCCCTCCTTAGAAACTGCTAGTAATAGGAAGTACGAGAAGCAGCTCTCCGTGCCTCCCAGGCACCCGAGGAAGCCAGCCCATTCGAATCCTATGGATTCCCCCCGTTCCCCCATCTCTCCTCTACCCCCGACCCTCAGCCCCCAGCCCAGGGGGCAAGAAACCGACCCTTTGGACCCACCGTCCGATGCGGTGAATCCGGCCCTCTACAGCAACGGGTTAGAACTCCAGCCCATCGCCAGCGCTGAGGACCGGACCGTCCTGGCCGGTCCGAGGTTGCCCCTGATGGCCGAAGTCAGCGAGACGGCGTTGTATTGTGGTGTGGTGCACAACCAGGAGTCGCCCAACAAGTGGCAGGGTTACTCTCTTCCTCTACCCAGCGATCTGGAATTCAGACCTCCGGAGCTCCAGGGGCAGATCCAGGACGTCAGGATGGAGGCGGCGTCTGAAAACAGCGCACTGAAAAGGTGAGGCGGAACTCTCTTTCGGAAGAGTCTGGCGGTGGTCCGGGGTTGCCCTTGGGGGGGGGTCCGCTCCAGGGGTTGGTGGGGCGGCTCACACGTCCTCACCAATGAAACTCGATCTGCAAAGGCAAAGGTGAGCAGCCTGTATTTCCGTAAAAGGTTAGGGACCCATAATTGTTACCTGGAAATTTCTGTACCTGGGGCTGTCTCCAGGTGTTAAGACTTTTCCCCGTGAATAAATGACAGGAAAGATAAGATAAGATAAGATGAGAAGATAAGATAAGATAAGATGATAAGATAAGATGATAAGATAAGATAAGATGATAAGATAAGATAAGATAATAAGATAAGATAAGATAAGATGATAAGATAAGATAAGATAAGATAAGATAAGGTAGCCTTTACTGTCATTTTTTTTTTTTACTGTGGGCACAACGGCACACATCAAAAAATGAAATTTAGTTGCCCGCTCTCAAAAAACAAACAAGACTGATTGCAGCCAATTAGCGCATAAGGGCGCATGCATTTGCCTGCACAGATAGTCCTCAACTTACAACAGTTTCATTTGGCGATCATTTGAAGTTGCAGCGGCGCTGAAAAAAGGGACTTGTGACCGTTTTTCACACTTACGACCGTTGCAGCCTCCCCATGATCAAAATTCAGATCTTTGACAATCGACTCACCTTTATGACGGTCGCAGAGTTCCGGAGTTACGTGATCCCCTTTGGCGACCTTCCGACGAGCAAAGCCAGTGGGGAAGCTGGGTTTACAGTTAGTCCTCGACTTACAACAGTTCGTTGAGTGACCATTCAAAGTGACAACAGCCCTGAAAAAAAGTCACTTAGGGCCGTTTTTCAGAGTTACGGCCTTTGCAGCATCCCCACAATCACGTGATCAGAATTCAAATGCTTGGCACCTGGTTCCTATTTATGACGGTGTCGCAGCGTCCCCAGGTTAGGTGATCCCCTTTTGCAATTGCTGAAAAAGCCAAATCAATGGGGGGGGGGAAGCCAAATTCACTTAACAACCGTGTTACTAACTGCACAATTGCAGGGATTCGCTTAAGAGCCGTTGGAGGGAAGGTGGTAAAACGGGACAAAATCAATTTAACAGCTGACTCTCTCAGCAGCGGAAACGAAGGGCTCAGCTGCGGTTGTAAATCAAAATTATGGGAAGCACAGTTTTCAAGCCATCATGCCACAGGGTAAATAGCAGATGGTCCTGTGAAAATAACAGCACTGCTTTGGTGCCAGTTAGGTAGATCTGTGCTCTGTGCGCCACGCGGCTGTGTTTTCCATCATCAATGAGAATAATTCTTTAAGGAGGTCACGTGGCATGATCCCTATGATGACGGAAAGATTTGTATCCCGGGAGATTATTTTGAGATGACCTATCAGAATACCTAAGGATACCAACGGATATTTAAAGCAGGCACATTGGAAAACCCCAGTTGGGATCAGAGACTCAAGCTAGCTTTGAAATGACTTCCCAGGTCGTGGTTTCCTCCTATGCCAGTGATGGCGAACCTTTTAGAGACCGAGTGCCCAAACTGCAACCCAAAACCCATTTATGCATCATCGAGTCCCGGGTGGGTGTGGCCCAGTGGGTGGGCGTGGCTGCGGTGGTAACGGCAGACTGGGTGGGACTAAAAAGTTCAATCAATCAATTCCAACTTTGCAAGATCTTTTTTTTCCCGCGAGAAGTTGAAATTGACTGATTTGAACCTTTTTTTTTTTTTTTGCACATGGCGGCGGAGGCCTAAAGCGAAAAGGTTTTATAAAACCCAGCTGAAGGCCTAGGACGGGGGTGACGGCACACGTGCCCACAGAGAGGGCTCTGAGTGCCGCCTCTGGCACCCGTGCCATAGGTTCGCCACCACTGGCCTATGCCTTTCTTCAGAAATCATAATGATAAAGCAGGCTGACACGGGAATGTACCGGGCGCTTCCCCATTTATTTTTCTCTTTGTGGTGAGTTAGAACATGCTAAATATCACATCACGTAATTATGTTATTACGGTTTACTGGGGAAAGAAAAGAGAAAAGAAAAGAAAAGCCACAGGGCAGGTTTTGTACGGCACATTATCCATAATAATAACCAGCTAAGGCCTAAAATATTGATGTCAGGCTTCAAGAATACTACAAATTAGCGCCAGCAACGTGTATCCTCAAATTATCTCAGAATAACAGCGCAGTCTCCTGCAGTTATTCAGGTACTTCCACTGAATGGTGCTCAGGAAAGGAGAGGTGTCACACAGAGGGAACCCTGTAGATGTTAGACCAAGAGAAAGCCATAAACCTGGGATTAAACATGATTAGATAGGTTCTCAAGAAAAGCTGGCTGCATCAAATTGATGTCCCGGAGGATAGGCGATTGAAACAAATAATATATTAGCAGCTGTAAAAGTTAAATTTCTGGGAATCCCCCTTTCCTGTTTTTAAGTTGAGAAGATTTCCTAAGCTTACAGAGGGGATCATTGGATTTAATAATTGAAGGAAAACAGTGAAGTAAAATGTGTGCACACAGAGAGAAAGAGAGGGAGGGAGGGAGGGAGGAAGGGGGATAGAGAGAGAGGGAGGGAGGGTAGGAGAGAGAGAGAGAAAGGGGGGAATGTATAGGAATGTATATTGTGTGCTTCTTTTTCATCTACTGTAGGCTCTTAGCACAACCTAATAAAAGATTTAAAATCGTGGAGGAGACCCTACCTGTTCCAGCCGTGAATTACCTGGACCCCTTACCGCTAATTCCTCAATCTGGTGAATGCTTGGGAGATGCCACGGATCCGTACACGTTTCAGGATGGGGACATCAAATACAGCTTCACGGGCACTAAAAAATGCAAACTTGGGACTGATCGAGAATCTCTGAAGAAGAATAAGGTACCCATTGAAGTAGAAACATAAACCTTTGTAGAGCAGTTTATGGTCTTGTGTGTCTCCCTCAACTTGATTTAATTCTTAGTCAGACTTCGTACTTGAGCTTACACAACATGCTTAACATGGTTGTGGAATTATATAATATTTTGTTGTTGTTGTTAATTGCGAAGTCGTGTCCGACCCATCGCGACCCCATGGACAACGTTCCTCCAGGTCTTCCTGTCCTCTACCATCTTCTGGAGTCCATTTAAATTCACACCTACTGCTTCAGTGACTCCATCCAGCCATCTCATTCTCTGTCGTCCCCTTCTTCTATTGCCCCCAATCTTTCCCAGCATTAGGCTCTTCTCCAGTGAATCCTTCCTTCTCAACTTCAGGATCTGGCCTTCTAAGGTATAATATAACTCTATATAATATAGAGTTATATTATAACACAGGTCACCTGTGTTAAGCATCAGGAAAAACAACTAGGTTTAAAATGCAACCACTAGGTCTTTAAATGACTTGTTTGGGTCTTTATATCACTTAGTTAAGTGTGTCAGAGAAAGATGGCAGATGGATAGATGGACGGGCGGATGGATAGATGGATGGATGGATGGATGGACGGGCGGATGGATAGATGAATAGAAGGATAGATAGGATAGATAGAAGGATAGATAACAGATGGATGGATAGATAGATGGATAGATAATAGATAGATACATAGATCGATAAATAGGATAGAAGGATAGATAGGTAGGTAGGTAGATAGACATAGATTAGTAGATAGTTGGAGGGAAGGAGGGGGTAGTGGGAGAGAGAGAGAGTGTGTGTGTGCTAAAAGAATTCAAGATCTTTTCCTTCTCACTTACTTTTGGATTTTCACAGTATTGACCTCAATAACAGTCGGTTAAATTCTTTGTGATTGCAGCCAGAAGATGGAACTGCAGCTAAAGAGCTGACTTCAGGAGGCCATTCAACCACCCTGCCCGATGGGAAAGATGCAATGTCTATCTTCAGTTCTGCACCTAAGACAGGTATGCTGTAGGTGAATTGTCAACAACAACAACAACCAAACAGAAGAAAAGGTGGGACAGTGGTAACGTCCAGTTTTTGAATAATTTCCCCTGGGCATTACTTTTTGCTGAGTCTCTAATTAGGCATTTTTAAGGATACATTTTGGAATGTGGGAAATTGTCTGTTGTGCTTTCTCACTTCTTGATTATTTTTTTTTTATTTTTATTTTTTGCTTCTTCTCCCAGATACGCGGCAAGATAATTCTGCTGGCCGAGCTGGTTCTGGCAGCTTAACACAAGTCACTGACTTGGCTCCTTCTCTCCATGATTTGGATAATCTCTTTGATAATTCAGATGAAGATGAGCCTGGCGTAAGTTTGCGATGAATGGAGGTTGATCCTTCGGACTTTGAGGTTGCAAAGTATGAAGTTAGTTCTCACAAAAGAGAATATTTGTAGTCCAGGGTTGAACTGTGGGGTCCTTAGGGCTCTCTGAGCTTGGTGGTATTCATGCAGACATTTCATTACCAAACTAGTTAACCTCAGTGCTAGAAGGGGTGGGGTTTGTGGAGTGGAGGAGAGGGGGGAAAGAGGAGGACAATGAGGACAACTGTGGGGTCTTCAGTCCTCTCTGAGTTTGTTGTTGTTGGTGGTGGTGGTGGAGGAGGAGGTGGAGGACTATGGGGTCCTTGGTGCTCTTTGAGCTTGGTTGTTTTCTTGCAGATGTTTCATTACCAAACTAGGTAATATCATCAATGCACTTACATAGTTTCGTAATGCAACATCTGCAGGAAAACAGCTAAACTCCGTGAGCACCAAGGACCTTACAGCTAGTTTTGTTTCCAACAGCACCACCTATGAAACCAGAATTGTACTTATTTAGTTTTTGAGTCGACACGGCAAGTTTTATTACCAAGTTTCTTTGACATTTCCTAGGTATATAGGCATGAAATAAACAAATGAATGTATAAATAAGAAATTTCTCCCTCTGGATTCAATAAGTAATTGTCTGCTGTGAACACCACATGGGCGTTGGGAAGGGCATCCGGTCAGTAAACGCTCAGTTCCGTTCAGTCGCCCCGACGCAAGGGATTACAGGATTGTTAACAGAAAAATATATATATGCTTTGTGATATATATATATATATATATATGTATGTTTTAATTGCAAACTTAGGCTGTCTCCCCTCCCCTCCGATCATCAAAAATGCCAGCGGTGGGAGCTGAAGAGCGGCATCTAAGCAAGGATGCAAGGACAGCAGTTCCTTATCCTCCAAGTAAGTAACTCCAGCATTGTTCCAGTATATAGTTAAAGATAACACTCCCCTTTCTTTCCCAGACTGAAACCAGTTTTCCTCCTTCTGTTCAAAACCGAACAAAAGGAGGAAACAAATGTGTCCCTTGTAAAAAGGACGCCGATGGTTCTTTTGAAAAAGTTAATATTGGTTGAGATCTGAGGTGATCCAGCTTTGCTTAATCAGATGCCACGATTTATGGACATCAATGTCCAATAATTACTTTTATTTCAGTAATCGATCAGATCCTGTATTTACCTATGGATTGATTGATATCGTAGAAATAAACCCAAACTTAAGAGTCCCGAAGCAAAATGATCTCGCACCAAATGAAAGGAAATTAATTAAAGAAGCTGCTTCATCTCAAGCAGGATAATTTTTTTTTAAAAAAAAAAAATCAAAATCCTACAATGTGGCGCTAATAAAAAGCGATAACTTGACCAGGGCAGCGTCTTTTCAGTACCAGTATTCACAAAAGGCTATATTGGCTTGTCAGCTGATCTGGACAGCATTATTACCGCAGATAATAGCGTTCGGGCCAGAGGGAAATGGCGATTGTTTTAATTTGAGAATGTATTCATTTAAAAGCTGTCGCTTGAAAAGTAGACGGGTGAAATTGATTGAGGGCCATAGAAGCCAATGCTTTCCAACCGAGGCTGTAATTTGTATCTTCATTAAATCTATCAAGATGGAGGGATTAAACCCATCAATTTTCAATCTGCTGCTCCTTAGTATTCCATGAAGAATTGAAGGGAAGCTGACAGATGTTCGCAGGAGGCTTTTAAAACCCCCCTGACAGAATTACAGAATAACAGAGTTGGAAGGGACCTTGGAGGTCTTCTAGTCCAACCCCCTGCTCAGGCAGGAGACCCTATACCATTCCAGACAAATAGCTGTCCAGTCTCTTCTTGAAAACTTCCAGTGATGGAGCACCCACAATTTCTGGAGGCAAAGCCGTTCCACTGGTTGATTGTTCTCACTGATAGGAAATGTCTGCTTAGTTCTAGGTTGCTTCTCTCCTTGATTAGTTTCCATCCATTGCTTCTTGTCTTGCTCTCAGGTACTTTGGAGAATAGAAAGTGTGTGTGTGTGTGTGTGTGTGTGTGCAGTAAAACTGTTGCATTCCTTTTTCACAAGGGTAAAACCACAAGAATTTACAAGAGTGTTTCCCAACATTTCTGCCTTTGCAGACCAGCGGGGGGGGGGGAAGAGAAGGGATCTTCAAGACTGTCAGATGTTCCCCCCACTTCCTTTTAATCCTCACATAGGCTTCAGTCAGATCAACAACATGTTATTTGTTTAAATTTTAAGAGAAAAATAAAAGCATCGGTGTTTTGTTTCTGCGTGGGTTTATGACCTTTTTTAATGCTGAAGCTGTCTTTTCCAGCTGTTGCCGATCTGCAGCGAATGTTCCCCACCCCGCCATCCTTAGAGCAGCACCCGGCTTTTTCACCCGTCATGAGCTACAAAGATGGCATCAGCTCAGAGACCGTCACCACGCTGGGGATGATGGAGAGCCCGGTGGTCAACATGGTGGCGACTCAACTCACTGAGTTTAAAATGGAAGTGGAAGATGGCTTGGGCAGTCCAAAGCCAGAAGAAATCAAGGTAATAGATCAAGTCAAGATCACATGAAGCGCTAGTACCACTTTATAATGCCTTGGTAAGACCACTTGGGAAATTGCTCCAGCTTTGGTTGCCATAGTATAAAAAAAGATGTTGAGACTCTGGAAAGAGTGCAGAAAAGAGCAACAAAGAGGATTAGGGGACTGGAGACTAAAACATAGAAAGAAGGGTTGCTGGAATTGGGGGTGTCTAGTCTAATGAAGAGAAGGACGAGGGGTGACATGATAGCAGTATTTGAGGGGCTGCCCCAAAGAAGAGGGAGTCAAGCTAGTCTCCAAAGCGCCTGAAGGCAGGACAAGAAGCAACGGATGGAAACTAACCAAGGAGAGAAGCAACCTGGAACTAAGGAGAATTTTCCTGACAGTTAAAAACAATTAATCAATGGAACAACCTGCCTCCAGAAGCTGTGGGTGTTCCAACACTGGAAGTTTTTAAGAAGAAATTGGACAACCCTTTGGCTGAAATGGTATAGAGTTTCTTGCTTGAGCAGAAGGTTGGACTAGAAGACCTTCAGGGTCCCTTCCAACTCTCTTACAGGTAGTCCTCAACGACCACATCTGAGCCCAGAATCTATGTTGCTAAGTGAGGCATTTGCTAAGTGGGTTTTGCCCCATTTTATGACTTGTCTCACCACATTTGTTAAGTAAACCACTGCAGTTCTTAAATTAGTAACACGGTTGTTAAACGAATCCGTTTTCCTCATCGACTTCGTTCGTCAAAAGGGGATCGCATGAGTCTGAGTCACTGCGACTGTCATAACCGTTGTAACTTCAAACGGTCAATAAATGAACTGCCGTAAGTCGAGGACTGCCTGTACCCTGTTATTCTGTCCGTGGACTAATACTAGTCAAACACTGAAGAATTGAGACGAGAAGTTTGGTGGTGTCATCTGAGATGGTTCCTTCTAATCTTCCTCAACTTTGCTGAACCACCCAGAAATAACATGGTGTCTTAGTGCAGGGGTCCCCAACTCCGCGGGCTATGGACCAGCACCGGTCCACCGCATGCCAGAACCCGGGCCGTGCAAAGTAGCAAAGTCCCATCCAGGCAGCATGAGAAACCACGTCCTCTCCGGTCCGCGTAAAAACCTCTCTCCAAGGAGCCAGTCCCTGGTGCCCAAAAGGTTGAGGGCTGCTATCTTAGTGCAGTATGCAAAACCAGCTCTATAGTGTGAGAAGGCTGATCTGTATTCAGGATATGCTTTAGATAAATACATCTGTTTCTCTGTACGTTGTGAATTCTTTAGTCATCAAAATGTCTCGTACCTCCGGGTGATTAATACAAATAACAGCCTCCCTTACAATATCTGCAGTTAACGTAGCGCTGGATGTTTAGTCTAGCTGCAGTATTAAATGTAGGTTAATCCCAGAATGTTCTGTTTTGCTGCAGATGTAACAAGAGCAGATCTTTCTGAGTCTCGGGGAGGAGACATTATTCCTCTTTTACGTGCCGTTGATTCCTTTTTTTTCCCCAAAGAGTGTGATTTTTAGATAGAACGCAATCAGCCAACAAGGAGGATGGATGGATATTGTGCCAATGTGGGAAGAGATCGCCCTCCTTTTACACTCTCTTCATTTCTCCCAACTTTTATTCATAGCCTCCGTTTGCCACCATCGCCTCCGTTTCTGGATGTTGCCTAGGTTGAAGAGAAAACGTCTTCTCTTTCCTTGAAATATACAGTAATTATATGCCCAGAGGATCCAGATTTGCTCATTCCATCTGAAAAATTTCAACTGCTGTTGTTAGAAAGGGAGGGGAACAGGGAGACCTCTGTCAGGCAATGATGTCATTTTCATGTGTTTCATGTATTATGCTTCGTTAAAAAGAAGAGGAAGCTAGATATGAAATTGGTTTTTTTTTACCTGATCTCTCTCTCTCTCTCTTTCTATTTCACCTTCCTTCCTATCTACCTCTCCATCTGTCCATGTCTCTTATCTGTCTCATCTCTCTCGCTCTCTCTCTCTCCCCTATCTGTCCATCTCTCCTGTCTGTCTGATCTCTCTCTCTTTTTTTCTCTTGTCTCTCTCCCCCTGTATCCATCTCTTCTATCTCAACTTTCTATCTGTCTCTCCTGTCTGTCTGATCTCTCTCTTTTTCTCTCTCTGTCTCTCTCCCCCTGTATCCATCTCTTCTATCTCAACTTTCTATCTATCTCTCCTGTCTGTCTGATCTCTCTCTCTTTTTCTCTCTCTGTCTCTCTCCCCCTGTATCCATCTCTTCTATCTCAACTTTCTATCTGTCTCTCCTGTCTGTCTGATCTCTCTCTTTTTCTCTCTCTGTCTCTCTCCCCCTGTATCCATCTCTTCTATCTCAACTTTCTATCTGTCTCTCCTGTCTGTCTGATCTCTCTCTTTTTCTCTCTCTGTCTCTCTCCCCCTGTATCCATCTCTTCTATCTCAACTTTCTATCTGTCTCTCCTGTCTGTCTGATCTCTCTCTTTTTCTCTCTCTGTCTCTCTCCCCCTGTATCCATCTCTTCTATCTCAACTTTCTATCTGTCTCTCCTGTCTGTCTGATCTCTCTCTTTTTCTCTCTCTGTCTCTCTCCCCTTGTATCCATCTCTTCTATCTCAACTTTCTATCTATCTGTCTGATCTCTCTCTTTTTCTCTTTCTGTCTCTCTCCCCTTGTATCCATCTCTTCTATCTCAACTTTCTATCTATCTCTCCTGTCTGTCTGATCTCTCTCTCTTTTTCTCTCTCTGTCTCTCTCCCCCTGTATCCATCTCTTCTATCTCAACTTTCTATCTGTCTCTCCTGTCTGTCTGATCTCTCTCTCTTTTTTTCTCTTGTCTCTCTCCCCCTGTATCCATCTCTTCTATCTCAACTTTCTATCTGTCTCTCCTGTCTGTCTGATCTCTCTCTTTTTCTCTCTCTGTCTCTCTCCCCCTGTATCCATCTCTTCTATCTCAACTTTCTATCTATCTGTCTGATCTCTCTCTTTTTCTCTTTCTGTCTCTCTCCCCTTGTATCCATCTCTTCTATCTCAACTTTCTATCTATCTCTCCTGTCTGTCTGATCTCTCTCTCTTTTTCTCTCTCTGTCTCTCTCCCCCTGTATCCATCTCTTCTGTCTCAACTTTCTATCTGTCTCTCCTGTCTATCTGATCTCTCTCTCTTTTTCTCTCTCTGTCTCTCTCTCTCCATCCATCCATCCATCCATCCATCCATGACAAACCTTCCTTCTCCTTGATTTTGCAGGATTTTTCCTTTGTGCACAAGGCATCCACGTTTCAGCCCTTTATGGGTTCTTCTATGTTTGCCCCGTTGAAGATGCTTCCCAGCCAGTGCCTGCTCCCATTGAAAATCCCCGAGGCCTGTGTCTATCGGCCTTCTTGGGCGATTCCTCCCAAAATTGAGCAACTTCCTTTACCACCTTCAGCTGCTTTCATCAGAGATGGTTACAAGTAAGTACAGCAAGGAAGTGTATGTTCAAACCAGCTCTCAGCTCTCTTTCTTGGTTATTTCTCGACCCACAACAGGTAAAAACAATCCAATAAAAACAAATTAGAAACCAATATACAAGGATATAAAAACTAACCACAATAATTTTTGAACCCCCTATGATAAAGAATAGCATTTTGCCCTTTCAAGTGCTTTATTTCTGAAAAATCGAAGGCTGTATTTTGATGGGGGCTAATGGATCTTGGGAACCACTTGATGGTAAGCGTTGACCCTTCCAGCAGTTCTGACCTAATCAAATGAGCCAGAACAAAGGATGCTCGGCCAATAAACAAATCATAAAAACAAATTTTAAGTCTACTAATAACAAGCCTATAAGTTTTAATCAGGTTAAAGCAGACCTGGTCATTTTATAGCCTCCCGGTTACATCTGGCCTTTTGGTGGTGCCTGTCCAGCCTTTGTGGATTTGTTAGAAATTCTGTTTATATACAGCACCACAAACAAAGAATACAGTCACCATGTGCTTTACTGCTTAACTGCTCAACTGTAATAGGAAATATGAAACTCTACTTAGTACAAAAGAACGTAGAGTATATATTTGTAAACACTGCCATCTACTGGCTGAGTACTACAGTAGTTGTTGCATAAAAATATATTCCAACAAAATGTATTCCAACAGGACTGCTTTTATTTTGAAGATGATTGCCTTCTCCTCCTGCTCCTCTCCACAAACCCACTCCCTTCTAGCACTGATGGTCTTACCTAGTTGGGTCATGAAACGTCTGCAAGAAAACCACCAAGCTCAGAAAGCACCAAGAACCCCCAAGTTCAACCCTGAGCTACAAAGAGCCTCTTCTATTGGTAATGGGTTGTTCACATCTTGTGCCAATGCCGAAACAAACACATTGACCGCTTCCAGGTTGCCAAGCCCTTGTCAGTTCTGAAGCCAGTACTTGAATAAATCCTGCTAGAAATACAGCTACAAAATATAGATTTTTTTTTCTTTCTTTCTCTGCTTGCAGCAATATACCCAGCGTTGGAAGCCTGGCAGATCAAGACTACCTTCAAATGAACACTCCACAAATGAGCACTCCAGTCACACTAAACAGCACTGCGCCTGCCAGTAACAGCGGGGCAGGGGTGTTGCCATCCCCGGCCACCCCTCGCTTCTCTGTCCCCACCCCGCGCACACCCAGGACTCCACGGACACCGAGAGGCGGGGGCACCGCCAGCGGGCAAGGTTCGGTGAAATACGACAGCACCGATCAAGGCTCGCCAGCTTCCACGCCATCCACCACCCGGCCCCTCAATTCCGTGGAACCGGGCACCGTCCTGCCCATTCTGGAAGCCCACAGCCTCTACGTCATGCTCATCCTCTCCGACTCCGTGCTGAACATCTTCAAAGACAGCAATTTCGACAGCTGCTGCATCTGCGCCTGCAACATGAACATCAAGGGCGCCGACGTCGGTCTGTACATCCCCGACACGTCGAAAGAGGACCAATATCGCTGCACTTGTGGGTTCAGTGCAATCATGAATCGCAAACTAGGGTACAACTCGGGCCTCTTCATTGAGGACGAGTTAGATATTTTCGGAAGGACTTCAGACCTTGGCCAGGTGGCCGAAAGGAGGCTGATGATGAGTCAAAACACCTTAAGTCCTCAGCTGGGGGAAGGCAGCAAAAGGGCTCAGGGGCCCCCCGTGAGCCTCCTCCTCCTCCTCCAAAACCAACACACCCAACCTTTCACCTCCCTAAGCTGCTTGGACTACATGTCCGTCACCAGTCGGCCCGCGCTGTCTTACACGAACTGGAGTTACGACAGGGTTCAGGCTGAAAGCCACGACTCCTGGAATGAGTGCTTTAACGCCCTGGAGCAAGGCCGTCAGTACGTGGACAACCCGACGGGCGGGAAAGTGGACGAAGCTCTCGTCCGGAGCGCTACCGTTCACTCTTGGCCTCACAGCAACGGTAGGAAGCTCAGTTTTGTTTCAGACACTTTTATTTGGAAGAGAATAACTTTGATTTGGCCAAGTGTGGCTAGGCCAGTGGTGGCATTCAGTCGGCTCGCACCACTTCAGCAGAACCGGTAGCTAATTTTTTGTTGCCCAGGCCCAGAATGGACTTCCGGAAACGGCATCCATACAGAGAACCGGTTGTTCCCATATTTCAGGGGTCTTCAAACTTAGCCCTTTTATGACTTGTGGATTTCAAGTCCCAGAGTTCCTCAGCCAGGATAGGATAGGATAGGATAGGATAGGGTAGGATAGGGTAGGATAGGATAGGACAGGACAAGACAAGACAGGACAAGACAGGACAGGACAGCTGGAGGGGACCTTGGAGGTCTTCTAGTCCAGCCCCCTGCTCAAGCAGGAGACCCTATACCATCTCAGACAGGTGATTGTCTAGTCTCTTCTTAAAAATCTCCAGTGATGGAGCGCCCACGATTTCTGGGGGTAAACTGTTCCACTGGTTAATTGTCCTCACTATCAGGAAGTTTCTCCTTAATTCCAGGTTGCTTCTCTCCTTGATCAGTTTCCAACCATTGTTTCTCCTCCTTCCCTCTGGTACTTTGGTGAACAACCTGACCCCCTCTTCTTTGTGGCAGCCCCTCAAATACTGGAAGACTGCTATCATGGGATAGGAACCAGGCTATTAGGATGCAGAAATAGAGCAGGGCTTCCTTGGAATGTTGACTCTTTGATCTTTATGAAATACCTTGGCTATGCTGAAACAATACAGCGCTAGCAAAGATGATATATATATATATATCACCCTTCATGACACGGCTGTGCTGTGTGTGTGTGTGCTTTCTCCCCCAGTTCTAGACATCAGCATGCTTTCCTCCCAAGACGTGGTGCGCATGCTTCTCTCCCTCCAGCCTTTCCTGCAGGACGCCATTCAGAAGAAGAGGACTGGGAGGACCTGGGAGAACATCCAGCATGTCCAGGGACCCCTCACCTGGCAGCAGTTCCATAAAATGGCAGGACGGGGAACCTACGGTAGAGTTGGCGGAAGAAAAGGAGTTTATAACCACCGTCTTTTCCTGGAAATAAGACCCAGCCGGAAAATAAAGCCCTAGCGTGGTTTTTTTCAGGAGGCTCGTAATATAAGCCTCACCCCCCAAAAATAAGCCCCAGTTAAGTTTGTCAGCCAGCCGGAGGCATTTAGTACCGTATTTCCCCAAATGTAAGCCCTAACAAGAAATAAGCCCTAATGCAGTGGTTCTCAACCTTTTTAATGCCGCGACCCCCAACCGGTCGTAAGTTGAGGACTACTCAACCGGTCGTAAGTCGAGGACTACTCAACTGGTGCAGCACCGTTTGCAGAATGGGACTTTTGGCGGGCTCAGCAGGGCAGAGACAGCCTGGACAATTCCTATTGGCTTTTGAAAGCCAATAGAATTAGAGTCTATTCAAGAGAGTCTATTCTATTGGCTTTCAAAAGCCAATAGAATAAAAGGGAGTAGCACAGCTAAGGAAAAGGGGGGAAAAATGGTGGACTGCGTTGTTTGGCGACCCCCGTGAAATGGTCGTTCGACCCCAAATGGGGTCCCAACCCACAGGTTGAGAATCACTGTCCTAATGCATCTTTCGGAGCCAAAATTGTTAGAGAATTTTAATTTCTCTATTGGTGAAAAATAAATCAGAAGCTCTCACAGTTGACTGCATTTAGCTGATTCAAAATAACTTCTTTATATCAAAATATTTGCATTACCATACATTCTTCTTTACAGCAACATAGCTTAATTGAAGACTTCTTCCAGAGAGATACAGAGACAGACCTGAGACTGGAAATCCAGCTCCTAACTCAAAACTCTTTTGCACAGACTCAGTAGCCCTTTCTTCACATTGCCTGACTGAGTTACCACATGACTCTTCCTGTTCATGAATATTCCAACAAAAATTAATACAAAGCGGTCTTATTTTCAGAGAAGCACGATATATCCAAGCTTCCTTTGCCCAGCTCAGCTGGTCAGGAGTGGATGTGGATAGGGTTTGGTTTGTGAACTGTAACACAGGTAATCCTCAGCTTACAACAGTTCATTTAGGGACCGTTCAAAGTTACAACGGCACTGAAAAAAGAGTGACCCACGACCGTTTTTCACACTGACCACCCTTGCAGCATCTCGGTAGTCACGTGATCAAGACTTCAGACGTTTGGCAACTGAGTTGTATCTATGACGGGTCCTCGTGTCCCCTTTTGTGACCGTCTGAGAAGCAAAGTCAAGGGGGAGGCCAGATTTACTTAGCACTTGCAATGATTGGCTTAACAACAGTGGGAAGAAAAGTCGTAAAACGAGGCAAAACTCCCTTAACAAATGTTTCACTTAGCGACAGAAATGTTGGTCCTCAGGTCATGAGCTGAGGACTACCTGGAGTCTGAAGCGTTGGCTTAATGGAGACGCTCAGCTTTCCAGTTTTCACAGCTGTTCAGGTCCCAGGTTCTGAATGTCCCTCTTGATGTTTAGGTTCCGAAGAGTCGCCTGAGCCTCTTCCGATACCCACCTTGTTGGTTGGCTATGACAAGGACTTCCTGACAATCTCTCCGTTCTCCCTGCCATTCTGGGAGAGGCTGCTCTTAGATCCCTACGGGGGTCACCGGGATGTCGCCTACATTGTGGTGTGTCCAGAAAACGAGGCCTTGCTTGATGGAGCCAAAACTTTCTTCAGGGACTTGAGCGCCGTATATGAGGTGGGTGACCCTCTCCTCTCTTCCCCTTCTCTCTCCTCTCCTCTCCTCTCCTCTCCTCTTCTCTCCCCTTTCCTCCTCTCCTCTCCTCTCCCCTTTCCTCCTCTCCTCTCCCCTTTCCTCCTCTCCTCTCCTCTCCCCCCCTCCTCTCCTCTCCTCTTCTCTCCCCTTTCCTCCTCTCCTCTCCCCTTTCCTCCTCTCCTCTCCTCTCCTCTTTCCTCCTCTCCTCTCCTCTTCTCTCCCCTTTCCTCCTCTCCTCTCCTCTCCCCTTTCCTCCTCTCCTCTTCTCTCCCCTTTCCTCCTCTCCTCTCCTCTCCCCTTTCCTCCTCTCCTCTCCCCTCCCCTCTCTCCTCTCCTCTCCTCTCCTCTCCCCTTTCCTCCTCTCCTCTCCCCTCCCCTCTCCGCTCCTCTCCTCTTGAACAGAGAGGAAAGGCTTTGCTGTTACACTCTGCCTAATTTAGTGTGTGTTTATCATGCCTTGTCCCACTGAACCTTAAGGCCCATTAACATACTGGCACCTAAGCCTCACTAAAATAATAGGAAAATTATTTTCCACTTCTCCCTTTCTGCAGGTAAGCAATACATTCTCCATTGCCCTTAACTGAAAACAGAGGGGAAAAAAATCCCTCTGCCTGTGGGATGCACAGATGGTTAATTGCTCTGTTGTACGTTAACGCACACCTCTGAAATGCTTCTTTTCTCATTGTGCCATTAGATGTGTCGGCTTGGTCAACACAAACCCATCTGTAAAGTGTTGCATGACGGGATCATGCGTGTGGGGAAGACGGTGGCCCAGAAGCTGGCAGATGAGCTTGTGAGTGACTGGTTTAACCCACCCTGGGGCAATGAAGATTGTGACAATCATTCCAGGCTCAAACTTTACGCGCAAGTTTGTCGTCATCACCTAGGTAAGAAGGGCAAGTTCACTCACTCCTTCTGCTTGCTTTATTTATTTTATGTGCTGACCATAGTTGGGAATAACCAACATCTTGACTTGGGAAGCAGATCAGCAGCCGAAGCAGCTCTTGTAACAGAATATAGAACAACAGAGTTGGAAGGGACCTTGGAGGTCATCTAGTTCAACCCCCTGCTCAAGCAGAAGAGCCTATATACCATTCCAGACAAATGGCTGCCAATCTCTTCTTGAACACCTCCAGTGATGGAGCACCCACAACTTCTGTGACAGTGGTGTTACATATGCCCCCCCCCCACCCCAACTGGCCTCCAGAATTATCCACGCAGCTGCCTTCTGGACCAAATTGTAGCTTCCCAATACTTTTCAAGGGCAGCCCCACGTAGAGCAGATGGATGTTCCCTCTGGAGGCCAAACTCACAAAAGCACAATTCCATCAGTTCAGTGGCCAGAAGGGTGAACAATATATATCTCTTAATTTAATCCTAAATTCCTCAATTCGGAGAGGAAGAACTGACCATCCTTTCTCCAATTGGGATGAGGTTAAGAAGAGGGTTAAGTTTATTAGGCGGGATACGAGTAAATAAATATACGTATTTAAAAAAACGAACCCAAATGTTCAGTTTCTGTGCTGTCCTGCTATTTTAGAAAACAGTGGGTCGTCCAGCGTGTTTTGGCTGTGGTGTGGGTCTTCTTGGCGTCCTTTTGAAATCTTTGCTTCCCGTTTTGTCCTTTCAGCACCTTACTTAGCTACTTTGCAACTGGACAGCAGCCTGCTGACGCCACCGAAACATCAAACGGCGCCTCCACCGTCCTCCAGCCTGGAGCAAACCCTCTCTGGGAACGCAGGATCCGTTTCCTCCACCTCAGCCTGTCTTGGGTCTACGGCTCCCTCGGCTGGCACGTCTTTCAGCTCCTCAGCTAACGGTACCAGTGGTCTCCCGGTGGGCACCAGTACCGTCCCAGGCTCTTCAGTGCCCCAGCTCCTGGCCTCCTCCTCTTCCTCCTCCTCCTCTTCCTCCTCTTCATTGGCATCCAGTATTAGCCAGACAAGCACTACCTCCTCTTCAGGGTTCAGCGGAGGCCTACCTCAAGGTCCAAACCCAATACCTGGGGCAATTCCCTCAGACAGACTCCAAGGAAGCACAGTCCCCGGAGGAGACGCAGAGGCAGGCCAAATCTCATCGCAGCAACCGCCAGAAGGGCAGGAAAAGTAAGTCTACTGTTCTCAGGTTTGGGCCCTTTTTTGAGGCCGAAGCGTTTATCCCGTCTTTCCTTCTCCTGGACCAACTTCATAAGTGTTGGGATCTCTTTGCCTGAACGAATGCTTTGGGAAGTCTGGAAGTTGCGCTCCTCCACCTTCTGGAGTTGGGGGGGTCTCCAAACTCGGCAACTTTAAGCAGTAATAATAATAATAAAGTTGGAAGGGAGCTTGGAGGTCATCTAGTCCACCCCCCTGCTCAGGCAAGAAACCCATTCGGACAAATGGCTGTCCAATCAATTCTTTAAACTGTCCAGTGTTGGAGCATTCACCGCTTCTGGAAGCAGGTCGTTCCACTGGTTAATTCTTCTAATGGTCAGGAAGTTTCTCCTTAGTGCTAGGTTGCTTCTCTCCTTGATGAGTTTCCATCCATTGCTTCTTGTCCATTGCTTTCAGGTGCTTTGGAGAACAGCTTGACTCCCTCTTCTTTGGGGCAGCCCCTGAGATACTGGAAGACTGCTAACATGTCCCCTCTCGTCCTTCTCTTCATTAAACTAGACATCCCCAATTCCAGCAACTGTTCCTTATATGCTTTAGCCTCCAGTCCCCTAATCATCTTTGTTGCTCTTCTCTGCACTCTTTCTAGAGTCTCAACATCTTTTTTGCATTGCGGTGACCAAAACTGGATGCAGTATTCCAAATGTGGCTTTACCAAGGCCTTGTAAAGTGGTATTAACACTTCTTGAGTCTATCCCTCTGTTAATGCAGCCTAGCACTGTGGTGGGATTCAGCCGGTTCGCACTACTTCAGCAGAACTGGTAGCTAATTTTTTTGTTGCCCAGGTCCAGAACGGGCTTCCAGAAGGCGGCATCCACACAGAGAATCGGTTGTTCCCCTATTTGAATCCCACCACTGACTTTAAGACTTGTGGACTTCAACTCCCAGAATTCTCCAGCCAGTCAACTTCTAGGAGTCCACAGGTCTAACAAGTCCCCAAGGCCGGACATCCCAGTTGTAGAGGAAGACTTAATATATACTGGTATATAATGGTACATGGAGTTAGTTTTTGGTAGAGAGTTTGAATCCCAGAGAAATAAAACTAGCTGGATATATGTTGGGGGGGGGGGAGAGAAATCAGCCACATACTGCTCCCTGCCGGTCATGAATTGTAATAGCAAAAATTGGTTACTGGCCCCGGTCAAAGTTAATTACTGGATAATTCTATAATGCAGAGACGAAGCTTATTAATTTCGGCAAGGGTGCTTAATCTTTGTGTGGGATAATAGCCTGTGCCCTATTTTCAGTCCAGGTTTAGGGATATGTCAAGATAATCCTTAATACCAAGATGATACGTTCTTAATTTTATTTTTTGAAATTGAAGCTCAGTTGTCTTGTGTCTCCCCCCCCCTTCCTTTTGCTGTTGTCAACCCCTCTTCTTGACGTATGTACTATTTGGATCCAAAATGGACAGTGAAGCTTTGCATCTAGCATAGGTCGCTCAACAATTGCTTATAAAGGAGATACACTTTTTTCCACTGGATTCAAATGGTAAATACTATGAAGGCTCAAAAAAAGTAGGCCTTTTGGATTATGGAGAGAGCAACAGGGGAGCGATCTGTGGTCTCAACCTGTCAGCACCTCCATAACCACCTCCGGAACTTGTGTATTTCCCATACCTAGTCCTGTCAGAGCCCAGGGGGGAAAAATGTATTTCTTTTAAGGAGCTAACAGCAGAGGAATCCTTAAGCACATGGGTTGTAACTTAATAGGAAAAAAAAAACACACAAACTTTTAAATTGTACGAGGTGGTAGAATAACAGAGATGGAAGGGATCTTGGAGGTCCTCTAGTCCAACCCCCTAGCTATACCATTCCGGACAAATGGCTGTTCAATTTCTTCTTGAAAACCTCCAGTGTTGGAGCACCCACAATTTCTAGAGGCAAGTCGACTAATTGTTTTTAACTGTCAGGACATTCCTCCTTCGTTCTAGATTGCTTCTGCCCCTGATTCGTTTCCATTTGTTGCCTCTTGTCCTGCCTTCAGGTGCTTTGGGGGAAAAAAAAAGTTTACCCTCTCTTCTTTTCGGCAGCCCCTCCGATATTGGAATACTGCTCTCATGTCACCGTGCGCCCGAGGGGTGTGGGTGTCAAATGCACTATCGGTTTGAAGTCCTTTCGTGCTCACAAGAGACCTCAGCCCAGCCCGCCTTGAATTCTGCTGACTCTTATCTACCACCAATTTCCTTTGACCGTTAGTAGCTCAGATTCTTGTAGAGACCATTAGCCTACAAGAAACCTATATATTCATTTGTAACCGCCTGGACTCCTGATTTCCTGCACCTGACATAAACCGTTTTTTGATTATTATTTTTTGGGTAGCTCTGCAGAGAGGGAGAGGATAGGGATTCCCACGGAACCCGAGTCTGCGGACAGCCATGCCTACCCACCGGCTGTGGTCATCTACATGGTGGATCCCTTCACCTACACCGCAGAGGAGGAATCTTCTGCTGTCAGCTTCTGGCTTTTGAGCTTGATGCGCTGTTACACAGAAATGTTGGACAACCTGCCTGAAAACATGAGGAGCTCTTTCATTCTTCAGGTGGGTTTGCCTTGAGACAGGCAGGTGTCTTTCTGGTTGGGTGCAAGAGGAACTGGCGCTGCTACCGAAGATCGGCATTAGCACCAATATAAGAGAATATTTGCAGCTCAAGGTTGCATTGTGGGGTCCTTGGTGCTCTGCGAGCCTGGTAGTGGCCGCAAAAGGTATCACTAATAGGCCTCTTTTCCCAGATAGCAGATCGTTTATAACGATGGCATCTCAAATTGGTTATATATTGTTATATCCACAGGATTGTCTGGGACATCAACACACCTCAATCTGGTTTGAGATGTGTGACGTGTCAATGCTGCAAATACTGTATATTCTTGCTTTGACAATATGCAAAACTGTCTGGCATTTATTGGGTTAATACTTAGCTTAGACTGGGCGGGGGAAAAAAGCCCGGGAAAGAAAGAGGAAGTAAATGTTTGACCTTCTCACTAATTGGATAATGTGACCTGTGACTGCATGAGAAGGGAGGGGTTGAGCAAGGAAAGCTTGATGCCAGCGACCGGAAGTTCAGATTCTGGCATCAATTAGTCCAATGGTGACCGGCATAATTTGTAGCTCTGCAAATAAAGACTTTAGGAAACATGCCTGAAAGTTCTTTGAAGTGCTTCATTAGTCGGAACTTGTGACATGGCATCCCAGACAATCCTGCGGATGTAACAAGGCCCCTGTGTTTTGGACATACAGGTTAAAAAAAAAATATATAGGTATACTTTTACTAATCCAGCTTTGCTGTTTTCTTTAGATTGTGCCTTGCCAATATATGCTGCAGACCGTGAAGGACGAGCAGATCTTTTATATCCAGCACTTGAAATCCCTGGCATTCTCTGCCTACTGCCAGTGCCGCCGACCGCTCCCCACGCAGATTCACATTAAGTCTCTGACTGGCTTTGGGCCAGCTGCCAGCATTGAGATGACGCTGAAGAACTCCGAGGTGAGCGAGGAGGGGGGCCAGCAAAGCCTCTCGGTGCTCACGCGCGTCCCTCTAAAATCGTCGCAGCGGTGACGCTCCGAGGAACGGCGTCCTTCGGCAAATCCGGACGGTCCCAACCCTGTTAGGCTTTCGTAAGACTCTGAAGGCCCGTTTCCCAGGTGTTTGGGCCCGGAAGTTGGGGGCCCTGCCAGTGATGTGGTTTTTAATATTTGGGGTTTCCCGTTCCAAGCTTGAGCATCGTGGCTTTTACGCTTATACAGGTAGACTTGCAATTTACAGCTGCGCAGAAAAGAAGGGACTTAGAGCCTGTCCTCACACTTACGACCCTTGCAGCATACGTAGAGTTACGTCGTCACAGTTGGGGCACTTGGCACCCAATTTATGACGACTGCAGGATCACAGGATCGCTTTCTGCGATCTTGATAAGCAAAAGTCAATGGAGAAAGCTGGATTCGCTTAAGGACCGCCTTGCTTCCCAGTGGAAATTCTGTGGTCCCAATTGGGGTCAAGACTATCTGTATCCTTCATTTTTTTCAGCTTGGGACAACCTGTCACTTGTTTTCTCTCTTTTTTCTCTCTCTCTCTCTCTGTAATGTCACCTTTTTATAGCGGCCGAGTCCCATTCAGCTGTACTCCCCTCCATTTATCCTGGCACCTATCAAGGACAAACAGACGGAGCTTGGGGAGACCTTTGGCGAAGCCAGCCAGAAGTATAATGTGCTCTTTGTGGGGTATTGTCTCTCTCACGATCAACGTTGGCTTCTGGCCTCCTGCACTGACCTGCACGGGGACTTGTTGGAAACCTGCATTGTCAACATCGATTTGCCAAACAGGTAGGCTACAAGAAAGAAAGAGAAAACAACGCAGCTTTCAAACTTTGGAGCAGACCATCCTACTGGACGTCCTGGTCTTAAATACATTGTTTAAATACACTGAGTACACGCTTATAACCCAGCAGACGCTCATCTCCCACTCAGAAGACTGAAAGTTCAATCCTAAGAGGGTTTTTTTTCTATCAGGATGCAAAGAGAAAATACCTGCTAGGAACTCGGCATAGGTGTCAGGAAGGGCATCCGGCCAGTAAATGCTCAGCTCCATTCCTTCGCCTTGACTCCACCCCAAATAGAGGGATTACAGGTGGTAAAAAGAAAACAACAAGAAGTACAACAAGTTCTTACTGCCCTCTTTTCCCTCCAGATCACGGAGGTGCAAGGTGTCAGCACGTAAAATTGGCTTGCAGAAGCTCTGGGAATGGTGCATCGGGCTCATTCAGATGACGTCACTTCCCTGGAGAGTCGTGATTGGGCGCCTCGGACGGCTTGGCCACGGGGAGCTGAAAGGTACCTGGGCGACACGGCTTCTCCCAGTTGGTTGACAATAGGCACTTGAGGTGCTGTCAGGATGGATTGTTATTTTATTCGCATTATTAAAGTTTTTACACATAGATATAAAATTTTAAATGTATAAAAGCCTAAATTAGGCAGTGCTTGCCCAGAAGGATGTAAGATCAATTGCATTCTGTTGTGCATCATAAGGCCCTCCAGAGTACATTTGGCAGGGGGCAGGGGGCAGGTGTACGTGTGTGTGTGTGTGTGTGTATGTGTGTGTGTCCTCATTCATAGTAGCCATATGATTGTTGGTAAGTTATTTTGGAATAACCATCCTGGGACAGAACAGCCCTGGACCACCATCTGTTCACCTATATCAGTGTTCCCCAACCTTTGCAACTTGGTGGCTTGTTGGGGTGGGGAGAGGAACGGGTCGACACGAGTGGCGGTCCAGCACACATGCCCATGTGCACGCAGCTCAACTTACGTGAGCGGTGGGCCGGCGTGTGCACACCCACATGTGCAGCTTGACTTGTGTAAGCTGAGCTGCGCTCGCGTGTGTGCATGCTCATGGGGCCTGGTTCCAAATAAGCCGTGGCCCAGTCATTGGGAACCCCTGATCTACCTAACAGAAAGCATAAGCTATGGTTTCCTTCAAACCTGGGTGTGGGATAACCCACCCTCCCCTGCCTCCATTAGGTAGGTAGCAGGTTAACCCATCACAGCCCAGCTGTTTTTGCGTTTCCCTTTAGCTGCAGGATCTCTAGCAGAAAAGTGTCTGGTTTTGTATTCCTAGGATTCCCATTGACCTGGAACTGCCAATCCGGACTATCCTTTTTAAAGCACGTTAGCAAAATAATAGAAACTGTCTCGGTTTGGAGCCAGGCTGTCTAAAAAGTGACGTGGCAATGTCATCCTGGTAATTAGAATGGAAAGCCCTGCAAAGCCGTGTGTGTGTGTGTTTGTGTGTGTGTGTGTGTCACAAAGATTAGGCCGTTTCATCCTTCTACCTTTACTAATCCCCTCAGAAGCAAGGGAACTGGGATGGCTTATTTCTTATATGTTCAGCGGCTGCAGTGCTTTTATACATGAGTCTTCGCAGGCTGAAGGTTTAGAACAGCGGTCCCCATCCTTTGCAGCTTGGCGGCCCGGCTGGTGGGGGGAGAGAGGAACGGCCACGCAAGCGGTGGGCTGGGGCGCAGGGGCGCAAGCGCCCACCGGCCCACCGCTTGCTCAAGTTGAGCTGTACCCACGGGCGCTCCAGCCAGCCACTCGGGCGGCCCGATCCCGAATAGGCCACAGCCTGGTAGCGAGCCACGGCCGCAGTGATTGGAGACCCCCTAGTTTAAAATAAGTGGCTTGTCTACGACAGGCTTGTCCGGCAGGGGGTTGGACTAGAAGACCTCCAAGGTCCCTTCCAGCTTTATTATTCTATTATCCTCCAACTCGTGGCAAGCCAAAAGGTTGGGACACTCCCGCTTTATATATTTGGGAGGCCTGGGTGAAATGAGAGGAAAGGCAGAAATCAGAGATGCGTGTAGCGCGCTTTAGATCTGAGCCGCTCTGCTTTGATCATTTTCAGAGTGTTTCAAGTGTGTAAAAGAGCTTCAAGGCACAAAGGAGGACATAATAACTGGTTGCTAAAACAACTGCTAAACAGCTAGGAGGCAGGGCTGCCAGATAACTTCAAGGGTCAATGAATTCTGGCATTTCCTCCTGGTGATTAACAGGTTTAGCAACATGTAAAAAGGAAGCATCTTATTAGCCTCTGACCAGAGAGAGTCAAATTAGAGAAAAGGTAGAGCGGAGGTGCAAAAGAGAGACAGTAAAGGATGTAAAGAGAATGGGTGGAGAAATAAGACCTTAAAGTCTACGGAGATTCTCCATCATCCAGGTCATGGTTGTCCCAGAGGTGCTTTGTTCAGGAGGCCACTGGACTTTCTTGTTTTTCTTTGAAGACGTTTCGCTTCTCATCCCAGAAGCTTCTTCGGTTCAGCCAGATGAGGGACGAGAAGCGAAACGTCTTCAAAGGAAAAACAAGGAAGTCCAGTTGCCTTTTGAAAAAAGCACCTTTGGGACTTAAAGATACGAGGACGGTGAAAACGATGGAAACGAGAGCTGATGATAAAACTAACTGCACCGGAGTAAATGATCACATAGAACCCTGTCAGAAATGGTCCTCCAGGATGTCCTTCCCCGAGAAGGGACGGGCTAAAAACTTGTTCTACTTTGACTTCTGGTTGGGGGACGCTTCTTTAGATGACAGCCTTTATTTCAGGGGTCCCCAACCCCCAGTCTGTGGACCGGAACCGGTCCCCAGCATGCCAACAACCGGTCCGCCGAAACAAGCAAAGCCCCATCCGTGGGATGCAGGCAGTACACAAAACCACGCCCCCTCCGGTCCGCGGAAAAACCTCTCTCCACGGAACCGGTCCCCCGGTGCCCAAAAGGTTGGGGACCCCCACTCTCTTTCTTCCCTCTCCTCCTCCTCTTGTTTTTCAGACTGGAGCATCCTGCTCGGAGAGTGCTCTCTGCAGACAATCAGCAAGCAGTTGAAGGAGGTGTGTCGGATGTGTAGCATCTCCTCGGCAGATTCTCCCTCCATCCTTAGCGCCTGCTTGGTTGCCATGGAGCCACAGGGTTCATTTGTGGTGATGCCAGGTAATTTATGCACGGCTCGGCGACAATGGGGCTTCGTGGGACCGACATCTTCCCTTTGCTGTCTCTCCCCCCCTCCCGCCTCATTTGGCTTGAAAAAGGGGCCTTTCCATCTTGTCCAACGCCTGTACCAAATGCTCAGCCTCTGGGGGAAAAAAATAGAATGGTGTGTGGGTGGGGGAGAGTTATTATTTCTATTTAGCATGTGGCAAGAGACTTCCAAATGCAATAGGGGCGAATATCTGTAGCTCGGGGCTAGCATGAGGGTGTGTTTCGTTCTCCGAGCTTGTGGGGTGGTTTCTGAACGTTTTGTTACCTCTTCAGCGGAGTTTAAACGTTACCTAGCCTGGTAACGAAATGGTCCGAAGCTCGGAGAATGAACCTTCACGCTCCGACTTCTTTATGCTAAGCCAGTGGTTCTCAACCTTTTTAATGCCGCGACCCCCAACCGGTCGTAAGTCGAGGACTACTCAACTGGTGCAGCACCATTTGCAGAATGGGACTTTTGGCGGGCTCAGCAGGGCAGAGACAGCCTGGACAATTCCTATTGGCTTTTGAAAGCCAATAGAATTAGACTCTATTCAAGAGAGTCTAATTCTATTGGCTTTCAAAAGCCAATAGAATAAAAGGGAGCAGCACAGCTAAGGAAAAGGGCGGAAAAAATGGCGGACTGTGTTGTTTGGCGACCCCCGTGAAATGGTCGTTCGACCCCAAATGGGGTCCCGACCCCCAGGTTGAGAACCGCCGTGCTAAGCCCTTAGAAGGGCTGTTTTCCTGCGGTCTTCTCATAGGGATGTGTTTTAAGCCAGGAGATCGCAAGGATTATCTGGCTGCCGTTGGGGAAGAATTAGTGGACTCTATGTCAGGGTCCCCAACCTCCGGGCACCGGTACACAGCGTGCCAGCAACCGGTCCGCACAAACAAGCAAAGCCCCCATCCGCGGGATGCAGGCAGCACACAAAACCACACACTCTCCGGTCCACGGAAAAACCTCTTTCCGTGGAAGCGGTCCCTGGTGCCCCAAAGGTTGAGGACCTCTGCTCTAGAGGGTGCCGTAAATCAGCCTGCTGCCTGACTCCACTTCTTCCTTTTGTCTTGAAAGATGCTGTCACCATGGGGTCTGTCTTCGGCCGCAGCACTGCCCTTAACCTGCAGTCTTCACAGCTGAATACGCCACAGGATGCCTCCTGTACTCACATCCTGGTTTTCCCAACTTCCGCAACCATCCAAGTCGCGCCTGCCAATTATCCCAATGAAGATGGATTCAGCCCCAATAATGGTAAGTCAGTTGCTGCTGGGGAGCAAGGAGGGGGGGGGAGAAGATTCCCCTTTGGTGCACCAATCAGAAAGGTTCGGCTGTAAGTCCTAGGTGAGTCCCACCACCCCACTTTAAAACCATATGATAGCCGTCTTCCAGGGCTTCAGGGTCTGTCCCAGAGGTGAAGGGACTGACTTATTCTCCGAAGAATAAGCTGGACATCCGTTTGACCAAGATGGTATAAGGTCTCCTGGTCTTGAACACGGGGTTGGACTAGAAGACTTCCATGGTTCTTTCCATAAGACCTCCATGGTTCTTTCCAGCCTATAATTCTATATTCTGATCTAGCTTTTTGGTTGAATGGGAGCTGCCTTCCCATCTCAGTAGACTTGAGAAACAGAATGATACAAATGGTGCCCTGGAGGTTTTTAAGAAGAGATTGGACAACCACTTGTCTGAAATGGTACAGGGTTTCCTGCTTGAGCGGGGGGTTGGATTAGATGACCTCCGAGATCCCTTCCAGCTCTGTTATTCTGTTAAACGGAGGCGTTGAAACTTGTTTTCTTTCCCTGCCACAAAGCAGTTCGTATTCTTTTCTTCTTGCTTCCTTCCCTGTGGTTAGCGTAAACCGCAGATCGCTTAAATTGAGCCTGATTAGCTCAGTATTTGCAGAGCTTAGACTCCAACAGCAGGTGGGAGAACCAAAGAGGGATGATGTGAAGGCAAGGGGGGGAAAAAAACAACAACTGAAGTCACTGCCAAGGATTTCAAATGGAATTCCAAATCCTTTTGCGAAGTAGATGTGTATTTATGTACATTTTGTTGAAGGGCTCCTTGGCATTTGAAATTGATCTGTTATTTTTTTTGGGGGGGGGGAGAGGAAGGATTTCTAATAAAGGGTAGCAATATTTAAGGTTGGTGAAATCTTAAGTTGGTGAAGTTATGACTTGCGGTCTTCCCAGCCTTCCTTTGAGAAAGCTTTATCGCTGAGCTAGATATGTCTAATATATCTAATATAGATAAACCCTAGAGATTTTCTTTTGCCAAGATTATGCAGGTGGGTCTCGACCTATGACAGTTGCTTAACAATCATTCAAAGTTATGACAGACCTCCCCAGAAAACTTGCAACCAGCTTTCTTTCTTTCTTTCTTTCTTTCTTTCTTTCTTTCTTTCTTTCTTTCTTTCTTTCTTTCTTTCTTTCTTTCTTTCTTTCTTTCTTTCTTTCTTTCTTTCTTTCTTCCTTCCTTCCTTCCTTCCTTCCTTCCTTCCTTCCCTCCCTCCCTCCCTCCCTCCCTCCCTTTCCCTTTGATCTTTTGATGGAACTTGGCCTCACCAAGTCCACCTCCTCTTAGTCCTTTCGTGCTGCTATCCCTTCTTGGCCCCAAATCCCCTCCTGAACTTTGGGCTGACAAATATTTAACTTGCATTAACTTGGGCCCTTAGGGCTTTGCACATTAATTGGAGTAATGTCCAACGGCTTGTGTTTTCCAAAAGAGTGTTAGATTTAATTTTCTCAACTCATTTTTCTGTGTTTAATTATTAAAGAGAGAGAGGGGGGGAGGGAGGGAGAAGAAAAATAGGAGAGAAATAGAAAAATAGAAAAAGAAGATGGGTGAGGTGCATATAGAGAAGATAGACTGGAGAGAAATACAGAGAGAAGGAGATGAGAGAGACAGGAGTGATGGACAGAATGGGGAGAAAGAAAAAAGAAAGAGAGATGAGACAGACAGGAGAGATAGGAAAGAAAGACACACACACACACACAGATGAGACACAGGAGAGATGGACAGATAGGAGAGAGAGAGACAGAAGGAGAAAAAGAAAGAGAACAGAGAGATGAGAGAGATAGGAAAGATGGACAGATAGGGAGAGAGAGAAACAGATGAGACAGGGAAAGAGAGAGATAAGACAGGAGAGATGGACAGATAGGGAGAGAGAGAGAGAGAGAGAGAGAGAGAGAGAACCACATATAAGCTAATAATACTGAAGTCCTCTTTTGCTCTCCTTTCCTCTTTGAGATGACATGTTTGACCTACCATTCCCGGATGACATGGACAATGACATTGGCATCCTGATGACTGGGAACCTTCACTCATCTCCAAACTCTTCTCCTGTCCCTTCTCCTGGTTCTCCTGGAATTGGAGGAGGACCGTCCTTTCAGCACAGCCGGGTAAGTACCCCAAACGTCCCTGCCACTCTGGCAGATTTAGGTTCCAGCTCCTGAAAATCGGATCTCCCCCCCCCCATATTTTGTGGGGGAGGGAACAGATTTTTTTACTTTGGGGATAGTGGTGGAGGTTGCAGTCCCAAGTCACGGAGAAAACAGCGGATGGAGAAAATCCGCTTTATAAGAACTGCTGTTTTTTGGGGAGGAAAAAAATAAACTCCGAATAATAATAATAAACTTTATTGTCACTGTATGTGTATACACAGTGTACACATACAACGAAATTTACTTGACACCCAAAGACCACACACATAATCCCCAAACACACTCCCACCCACCCACTCCTAGCTTTGATCTTGAGTGCAGTGGGTTTTTTTTCTCCCCTTGTTCCTGCACCCTGGCCATTAAGTGAATCGCTGCAGTTGTTTGAGTGACTTACATGGGTCGTTAAGCGAATCTTGACTTAGCGTAAGCCAGCTGGGAAGGTTACAAATGGCGATCACGTGACCTTGGGACGGTGCAACCGTCACAAATACAGGCCAGGGGCCCAATGCCCGGATTTTGATCACGTCATCGGGATTCTGCATGTGAAAACGGGACATAAATGGTCCCGAAACAAATGATCGTTAAGTCAAGGACTACCTTTAAAATAGTAGTTATTTCCACTTCAGTCCTGGCCACTCTTGACCATTGCGGTTAACGTTGGATGGTTATTCTGCAGGACTCTAGTTTCTGCTGTAATGAGATGAGTAATCAGCGAGTCGGTAACTGGCAGAGGCCTCTCCTGAGCAAATGCCTTCAGAGTAACCAGTTTAGCCATTAACCCGAGACTGGTAATTGAGGTGTAATTTTTGTTCTTACCAAAGTAGCAGGCTGTGATCTTTCCCCCCCCCCCCGGGGTCAAGGCAGGGCCTCCCTTCCTCTCCTGGATTTTGTAATTGATTGCTCCCGTTGGCAAGCAAGGATTGCCCTCACTGGCACACTGGGGTGTGCTGAAGCAGGCAGGCTGCTTTTGATGCTCTCCGGGCTGCCAAGTCGGTCACTGCTGATCACATGAAGAAAGGAAATCAGACCAAGTGGAGATCTCTTCAAGAGTTTCCCAAGTGGGGTCCTGGATGCTCGCTGGTCTTGGCAGTTTTCTTGCAGACCTTTCATTGCCCAACTAGATAACATCATCAGGGCTCAGAGCAGGAACTCATGATGTTGACTAGTTTGATGAAACGTCTGCAAGAAAACCCCCAAACTCAGAGCACCAAGGACCCCACTCTCCTCCTCCTTCTCCTCCCCCCCCCTTAGCACTGATGATGTTGCCTAGATGTGTCCATAATTAGTATACTAATTAATGATATATTTCTTTGATCTTCCCTTCTCCCATTTACATTCTCCTTCTTCAACCTTAAAGAAATATAATTCTTATTGTTTTCAATATAGAAATGATTAGACATAGGCATTTTTTTAATATTCGATATGAGATACGTGGTGCAAATTCACATTTTCCTCCTAGAGAAATAAAAAACAAAAACAAAAACCTGGTTCTTGACTTGTTGTCCTGTGGACTTCAGATTAAAAACAAACAAACCACTGCAGTACGAAAGAGAGCAGGGTAACTTGCACAGCTGGTGTAACTTGTAAGGCTTCCACCCTGGATTGGCTGGATACCAGAAGCTTTTTGCACCTTGAACAGGCGCAAACAGGCTGGGGCCCCCTTAGATGTTGGGAGCAATTGCCTACTCTCGGTTCTGAAACTCAACAGCCAAGAGGAGAAGTTGCTACCCTCTACAGCAGGGGTCTTCCAACTTGGCCCTTTTATGACTTGTGGACTTCAACTCCCAGAAGTCCTCAGCCAGGCACACGTGTCTCAAGTTGGGCGAGAATCGGGTCACGAGGAACCCCACGGATACTTGCACGCTCCAGGCACTGACCTGCCTTGCCCTTCTCACCTTGATTTTTCAGAGCCAAGGGGAGCGTCTCCTTTCCCGGGAAGCCCCCGAAGAACTGAAGCAGCAGCCCCTCGCCCTGGGCTACTTCGTTTCCACTGCCAAAGCCGGAAATCTTCCTCAGTGGTTCTGGTCGTCCTGTCCTCAAGCTCAGAAACAGTGTCCCCTCTTTCTCAAGGTTGGTGTCAACGCTGCAGATATTGCATATTCTTGCTTTTGACAATGTGCAGAATTGTCTGGTAAATATGGGGTTAATAAAGAGCAGAAGGGGCGTGGGGGTAAAGCCCGGGAAAGAAAGAGGAAGAAAACATTTGACCTTCACACTAGTTGGATAGGGTGAGATATGACAGCTAATTTAGGGAGGGAACATGCTGATAATTTAACTGCTCAGAGGAAGAGAACTTAGATCCTAGCATCCCTCCCTTGTGCCTGTGCCCACATTTTGTAACAATAAAAGACGTTTAGGAAAATCAATGCCTGGAAGTTCTTTGGAATGTTTCGTTAGCCGGAACCACAGCAGTTGGTTTTATTACCACTCGGGGCGGGACCCCGTGGGAAGCTGCCCTGATTTGGGGGCGGTCACAGAAGGATGTTGAGTCGCTCAACCCCACGGTCCTGTCTTCTGCTTCCTGATAGGCCTCACTACATCATCACATCTCTATAGCACAGACGGATGAACTCCTTCCTGCCCGGACTTCCCAGAGGGTTCCCCATCCCTTGGACTCCAAAACCACATCAGATGTCCTAAGGTAATGGGTCTTCTGGTGCTGGGTTAGTCATTAATGCAAAGGTTGGTCTTGGGCCAGCCTTCTGCTGTGGAACATCTACCCACATTTTGTCCATTGCTTTGAAAAATCCTGGGTCTGCGTTTGGTCGTTCCCTTGAAGATGGTTTCATTACCAAACATCTTAGGTAACATCTTCGGCACCACCCCCTAGCACGGATGACCTTGCCTAGTTTGGTCATGAAACGTCTGCCAGGAAACCACCAGGTTCAGAGAGCATCAAAGACTTAAGAAGATTCAGAGCTGGTTAAGTTTGGAGAAGAGACTAAGTGGATTATTGGTTGGGCTAGGAGGTGGTTGCTAATGTAACAGAGCAATTGTGTTTGTGTAGCCATCAGGAGTTGAAGCAGCGTGGTGTAGCTCTTTGAGTTGGGTTGTTTTCTTGCAAACTACGTTACCCAAACTAGGTAACATCAGTGCTAGTGGGCTTGCTGTGTTATATAAACAGAGAACAACCCCCGCTCCTTTCTAGCACTGATGATGTTACCTAGTTGGGTAATGAAACATCTGCAAGAAAAAACCACCAAGCTCAGAGAGCACCAAGGACCCCACAGTCGTCGTCCTCCTCCTCCTCCTCCTCCTCCACCACCACCAACACTAACACCAACACCAACAACTATGGTGTTGGTGGTGGAGGAGGAGGAGGAGGAGGAGGAGGAGGAGGAGGAGCTGTTCCACTGGTTAATTGTCCTCACTGTCAGGAAGTTTCTCCTGAGTTCCAGGTTGCTTCTGTCCTTGATCAGTTTCCAACCATTGTTTCTCGTCCTGCCCTCTGGTGCTTTGGTGAGCAACTTGACCCCCTCTTCTTTGTGGCAGCCCCTCAGATACTGGAATGCTGCTATCATGTCTCCCCTATTTCTTCTTTTCTTTAGACTAGCCAAACCCAAGTCCCTCAGCTGTTCTTCATCTGTTTTAGCCTCCAGGCCTTTGATCACCTTAGTTGCTTGGACCTCAGGATCAGAGAAGTTCCCTCCAGCAGCTTTTTTTCACACACACACCCCTCACCTCCTTTTCTCTTCTCTCTCACTCTAGGTTTGTCCTGGAACAATACAACGCCTTGTCATGGCTGACTTGCAACCCTGCGACCCAGGATCGGGGCTCTTGCCTTCCTGTTCACTTTGTGGTGCTCACTCAGCTCTACAACGCCATCATGAACATCCTTTAATCACAGGGAGCTTTAATTGGAGCTCCCCTCTCCACTCGAAGAATCCGCCACGGCCTGCACGAGTTCAGGTCCCTGACGAGTCTGAAGGAGGCCTGAGCAGCGCTCCCAGTTTTTCTCAACAAGCAGGAGAATCCTCTCCCACGGGATCGGAGTCCACCAACACGGGACATCCTCAGCCTCTGTGACCAGGGTTTCAAGCAGCCGATGTATTACAACTTTGAGGCAGTGTTAATTCGCCGGCTGAACCTTACAGAACTATGGAGCACGGTGAAAACCATAACGTCTTTCATTTCATATCTCTCTCTCCCTTTCCCTCTCTCTCTCTCTCTCTCTCTCTTTTTCTCTTCCTTTTTCTGTGCACGGATCTCTGCCGAAGAAAAGCAAAATATTGTTGTGACCAGTCGGGGTGACCCAAAGCCTCTGCCGTTTTCCTTGGAAAAACCGTCGCAATCCATGTGGCGTCTGCTAGTCGGAAAAATAGATCAGATTTTCTTTCTTTTTTCTTTTTCCTTTGTGGTGTACCTGGAACTCCTTGGATTGGATTGAATGAATGTGGGGGGGATACTTTTTTTTTGGGCGCCCCCCCTCCCCCATCCATGTAGATACGAATCGTCTGGAGATAATGCTGACGTTTGTCCAGTTTATTGTTTTATTTTAATTTATTTATAGGGGCTATTAAATTATAGAGGAGCAGGTACAGCACGCGATGTGACTCCCATCTCACCGAGAAGTGGGGTTATTTTTTTTTTCCCGGTATACCTCTTCCTTTTTAGCCTAGAAATTGGGATGGGGAGGGGACACACGGGGCGTTTCCGGTGGGGGTGGGACGGAGCAGTCCTAAGTCAATCAGATAACCGACATCCCGGGCAAAATAGCCCAAACCAGTGGAAAAATACGGAACACACGAAAACAGCTTTCTCCAATCTGACAGTATCCAGAGGTGCTGGGAATCAGCATCTCATCAGCTGGAGCCATCCGTAGCGAGGATTGTTTGGGGGCAGGGGCTGGGAATCATGGGTGGTGTAGTTCAGCGTAGCTGGAAGGGACATCACTGGCTGCTTCAAGTGTGTGGAAACCGCCCCCAAAAGAGGGGAGGGGATGGAAATGGACAGGGAAGTTTAAGGCGGCGTTTAGAACAGAATAATAATAGGGTTGAAAGGGACCTTGGAGGTCAACTAGTCCAACCCCCTGCTCAGGCAAGGGGACCCTATGTCATTCCGGACAAATGACTGTCCAGACTCTTCTTAAAAACCTCCAATTGGATCAATGTGGATTCCCCCCCCCCCAGCATCCCATCTGCGTATCCACACTCAGATGTGCCCAGATTTCGATACGATGATGTGCGTATCCTCCACTCCGCCCCTTCCAATCTCCGTGAGAGATATTTTGGAGAATTTTTTTTTTAAAAGCGACTTTATTGCATTAATATGGAAAATAAAAGGACACTGAGTGGGCGTGGCGGGCTGGGTGGGGAAGGAAGCCTAAGCTTGACTTAGTTAAAACGTCGGCACCGGGATATGGTTGTTTGTTTGTTTTTTTTTTAAAAAAAGAAAAGCTTAAAGCCATTAAATTGTTTGACTCGGAGGTCTCCAAATTCGACAACCTTTAAGGCTTGTGGGCTTCAACTCCCAGAAGTCTTCAGCTTGGACAACCTTTAAGGCTTGTGGGTTTCAACTCCCATGCCGGCTGAGGAATTCTGGGAGTTGAAGTCCACAAGCCTTAAAGCTGCCCAGGTGGGAGACCCCTGGTTTGAACGACTCCTTGGATTGGAGGCATCTAAGGGGGCGTTCCCATTTCTAGCGGTGACAGGCCAAGGCTGCTTTGAAGGGGGAAAGGGGGCGGGACTTGGTCATCACGGCCACCCTTAACAGATCTTTTAGCATTTTTGAAGTTCTTCCAAGCGTCTCTCTTCTGGTTAAATGAAAAAAGGAAAAAAAAAATATGAAAATTTCTATGAATTTAAATATTTTTCTCGAAACGATGATGTAATGTTTAAAATCAGATTTATTATTATTATTATTATTAATATTATTATTATTATTAAAAAAGTAATCCCATGCAAGGTGGGAAAGGATCGGTCGGAAGGAGACCCTGTAAAATGGATCGCTCTTATTAGTCTCTGCTCCAGGCTGCCCACCTGGAGGAGTTTTTTGCAATGTATAGGAGGGGGGGAAAAATTCAGATATATCGAAAATCATTTGTATCTAATGTATACAGTGTAAAATGGATTTTAAAAATATTACATTACTATTTTTTCTTAATCGGAAAGAAAATTCTCAAGGCCTTTTGAAGAGCATTAAAAGATGAAGATTGTAAACTTGTATACAAAAAAAAAAAAACATTCTTGGTGAGGAAAACTATGTAAAGTTATCTTTTAACACTTTGGGGTTATTTGTTCCCAAGATTCGCCTGAATTTTGGATTATAGTTTGGATTATAGGCTTCTTTTTAACGGGCTGTTTTTTTTATTAAGGGGTGACTTCTCTCCCCCACCCCCAGAGATCCAATTCTAATGCAAAAATTTAAAAAAAAACAACCCTCAATCCATAAATATGGGGAAGGGGTTAATAAGGAGTAGTTTTCATCTGATGTTGTTTTTATTTAATTTTTTTAAGTTAAGAGAAACTGGTAACCTATTTATACATTTTTTTGTGCAAAAATAAATGAATGGCAATAGATTTTAAAAAGAAAAAAAATCTTATGTACCTTCAGTGTGAAAATCTGTATATTTCCCTTTAAATATGCATTATTTTACTTGTGGGTTTTTTACTGAATTAATCTGAAATGTACAAGCCCTGGATTTCCTACAGAGTAAAAAAATTATTTTATTTTTTTTAATTTCTAATTTTAGAAATCATACGGAAAATCAGAACGAGTACAGTTTGAGCAAAAAGGGGTGGGTGGGTTGGGGTGAGCGCACGGTCGTCCAGCATGCTTGTATGTATATTTCCGGACCTTTTTTTAAATGTAAAGGCTGTACATTTCTTGGGAGAGTTTGATTTTCTTTTCCTTAAGCATTTTGCAGTGACCCTCTTTTATATATAGCCAATTTGAAACAAAACAAAAACAAAACAGACAAAAGAACTGTGTGAAGTTCATTTTAAATCTTAACAGTATATCGCTGGTACAATACACTTAAATAAAAAAAAGAGAGACTTTGATAAAAAGAAGAACCAATAATAATTAAAAAAAATCTCCATTTTAAATGTCATTCATATATACCTTGTGGATGAGAGCTATATACTTTTACACACTTTTTTAGATGAATAAATTATTGAATTACTGAAACTTGTGTGGGTTTCCAGCTTAGTTGACGTTAGTCTCAATCAATGTGACATCATCAGCAGATGCGGTGATGGAGAGACAATTGATTTTGTTCTTATTGCTTGGGACATGAGGACAAATTCTAGATTTGGCAACTTCCGTTTAGATCATGGAGGACATGGAATCATAGACCTAGAAGGACCTTTGAGGTCTTCTAGTCGAGCCCTCTGCTAAGGCAGTTGATCTTATACCACCCAGTCTATTTTGGGAAACCTCCAGTGATGGAGCACCCATGGCTTCTGGAAGCAAGCTGTTCCATTGATCAATCATCCTTTTCTCCATCTTGGCATTTCAAAAACGGCGTCCTGATGAGCATTGTGTGAATGAAGGTGGTGTCCTCCCAAAATCCATAGATCCTCATTTTGGAGTTCACAAGAGACTTCTAAGGGTCTCGTAAATCCTCCCCTTTAAGGCATTGGATTCAATGATCTTCAGGGGGAAAAAAACGGGCTGATGGCATTTTTCTGACAGGACGTTGGCGTTTGCTACATTGGCTAGGAAAGAATAAAAAAAACCATGCAGGCATGCGATTAATTAACTAAGGCATCAATGCAGGAAAGAGACCAATGTGGAAAGGCAAAACTGTTTGAAGTTGTAACAAAAGCAGAGCAGTGATGGGATCTTTCCCATTTACTGTCAAATGTGCCATCTTTTTTTTTTTTTTTTTGGTCCCTAAAAAAAAGGTTGTAAAGAAGCTGTCAAAATATACTTTTCTTGCACCAAAGACATGAATAATTTCACCAAATCTCTTTTACACTGGCTACAATGATCGACCGCAGCTCTTTCCGTGTGGATTTGCCGAGTACTTTTCTGTATGAGAGGCAAAAGCTGTCATGTCACACCATGCAAAAAAGGACAGCTGTGCCTGTTGAATGAATACAAATGACTTCTTCACCATTTTTGGGGGGGGCCAGAGATTACCCAAAAGAGTTTTCAAGAGAATGATATAATGCTTCAGAGTTGATTCCAAGAAATGCATTTCTCTGCATCTCTCTTTAAAGCAGCTGCATCTTTTTCTGGGCTCAGAGCAAGCTGCAGTTGTCGAATTTAAAGAAACAACAACTTTGAAGAATTGCTACAATCCTACTCCTGAACACATGATAGACCCTTTCTCCAAATTATTTCCAAACCACTATCCTGTCATAGATTCTGACTGATGCAGTTCCACCGACAGTCCATCCTGCGAGAATTTAGTGCAAAAAGTCCTTTCAAAAGTACCTTAGCCATCCAATATAGGGAATTTGCTTCTACACCACACAATCAGCCACACTCTGGGCTGTGTGAATGCTGGCCTTGGAGCTTAAGAACCCTGGTTGAGGATTTTCAATGTGTTGTGCAAGCCCAGCCAATTTAATGAAAATATGGCTCATTAAATAAACTGAGTTAAATGTAGGAGTGCCTTTTATTCAACTGTTGGAATTCTTCTCTCCGGTTTGTGTGGCCCAAAGGACATTCAGTGAATTCTTCCATATATCCTGCTTAATGAAAAAATTTACAGTGAAGGAGTTTTTGATATACAAATACTGAAACAATTTAGTTTGGAATGATACTGAGGTGCTTGGAAAGCAATGAACGACAGTCCCAATGTATTAAAAAACAACGTTTGGTTTTGCTGCCTTCCCGTTTGCTCTTCTAATGCTCCCAATTAAATCCCAAATTACTTTTATTTTTCTGCACAAGTTTTGGGGACGGAGGGGAACGGCGACCAGAAATTAAATCTGAAATGGGGAGACAGAAGGAGATGGTTAACTTTTTATTACTTTCCAATAAAAAATCCTCTGGCTGGCAGCTTTTTCTATTAAAGCCAGCTGCAGCCATTTGTGTCATGTTGTTTAGCACTACATGTATTGTAAAAATGACTTCCAAAGTATTGAAGATATCCATTGTAGAACTTGAATGCAAAGCCAGCCAGACTCCTATTATCGCAGTAAATTTAACTGTTTCGCCATATCGCCGTTATTTAAGCGGTGATCCAGATGCGGAAGCTAGATTAGAAATCTGGATAAGCAACTGCTAGTAAAATGTTAAAAATATTGCATGCTCAAGATGACATTGTCACCTGCATTAACCTGAAAATAAGTTCTCTAGTTAGGAGAGTGGATTTTACTTTCAGATAAAAGTGCTTTTTCAAAAGGTCTAGTGTGCTCATTTGGCCAATATCTTTTATCATCCCTTATGTCAAGAAAAGGATATTTTGGAGAGTTGGAAATCAATCCTAGAAAAAAAAAAAAAGTGGGAGAACTTTACTGTTTTCAGAGAAAAAAGATTCCACCTCTCAACATTTGATTTGCAAGAGATTTTTACTAGTTGCAGCTACCCATTTCTGCGTGTCTCAAAGAGCAATAGCACTTAGACTTATATAGCGCTTCACAGTGCGTTTACAGCCTTCTCTAAGCGGTTTACAGAGTCAGCCTCTTGCCCCCCAGTATGAATCCTCATTTTACCCACCTCGGAAGGATGGAAAGCTGAATCAACCTTGAGCCAGTCAGGATCGAACTCCAGGCTGTGGGCAGAGTTTGCCTGCAATACTGCATTCTAACCATCTCACCGCCACGGCTCTTGAATTTGATTGCTTTAGTAAATCTTTGCCAACAGGCAGATAGCTAATTCCTTTTTTTGGCCCAATTGACTTAATGCAAATAAATGTTTTGCTCAAATGCCCACAGAGACGAACTTCCTAAAAAAATATTTATTTTTAAAGAGGGAAGGGGGTTTATTTTATTTCCCCCCTAAACAGCTGCAGGTCACTGGATGTTTGCGGTTCTCCTTTCCCCAGTGTCTTGAATTTGGAATGCTTTTTGATACCTGCCTGTTTAAATCGGCAAAATGTGATACTTCCAACAAACCGAACATGACCCTCACCTTGATCTCATCCTTGCGTGGGAAACTGTTTGTGAGAATCAGAAGAGGGAAGAGGAAGAGGAACAGCAGAATAGGCAATGGATAAGAGGCAGCTTAGCCTACAGGAGGCATGGACATGAGAATCTCAGTTTCTTCTTTTCTTTTTATAACTTTATTGTTTTATCATCGAGAATAAAAGACAAGAACAGTCGAACATAACAGACAAAATGGAACAAAAGAAAAACACACATTCAACTCTGACCACACACACAAGCAAAAAGGGGGGGAAATAGTGTACCAGAAAAAGAGGAAAAAGTTTCTTGAACTGCGACTTGCCAGATCGAGTCAGCTTTGAAGATGGTCCAGAGAAGAAGCACCAGCCCTGAACATTAACACTACCTTTACCGTAAGTCACAGGAGTCTGAAGTTCACCTCCTCCTCTTCCACTTGAAGGCAACCCCATCAAGACGCATCTAATCAACAGTGCCAGCTTTGGACCACCATCAAGGTTGCATGCTCAGAAGGGAGTTGGCCAAAGCCGACTTCCTTCTGGAAGACCACAGTTCTCCATCGCTCTCTGGACTAACACATCTGCCTTTAACCCAAACTGAGTTCATGCTTTCCAGATGACCAGTCTGCCCTGGTTCAGGAAACCCTGGAAGCTGATGAGAATGATTTTCAGATAAAGTGACCAACGGAACTTCCTGTGTCACCTCATTTCCCATGACATTACATTGGTTCTTGCCAGGAGTGAGCTGGCCTGTCTGAACGCAAAACAAAAGAAAGGGACACAGCTGCCGAATGACAACATTCCCCCCTCTCCAAAAACAACAACAACCGGGGGGGGGGAGAGAAGAGGACACCTCAGTGCAGGATTCTTAGTAAGTTCTAGCTGGCTGCCTGCCATTCTGCAGGATAAAAAGATGAAAATTTGTCAAAGAAAGATCCAGGCTAGAATTAAGAAGAAACGTCCTGACAGTGAGAACAAAGAATCAGTGGAATGGCTGGTCTCCAGAAATTATGGGTGCTCGGTCACTGGAAGTTTACTGGAAGAGATGGGACAGCCATCTAGGGTTTCCTGCTTGAGTAGGGGGTTTGACTACTATCTAGAAGACCTCCAAGGTCCCTTTTGCCAACTGTGTTATTCTGTAATTCATAAAACAGGTGAAGTGCTTGAGTAGAGCCACTAGGCGTCAGCCTTTGATGACAAATCAGCCAGCTTTTTGATAAATTTCCCTCCTCCTCCTCCTCCTCCTCCTCCTCCTCCTCCTCCTCCTCCTCCTCCTCCTCCTCCTCCTCCAGCACAACACACCATTTCATCCCCCAAAGGTCAGCCCCACTGCTAAGATGTAGGCCTGGCTAGTTAATGTACCCACTGGGTAATCAGTTACAATTTGTAATCTCATTAGTGCCTGGGGAAAGGCACGGGGAGGGGAGAATCAGCTCAAGGAAATTGAGGAATGACTGCTCATAGGAGTGAAGTTTCCTCCAGGGTCATGGACCCTGCTAAGAGGGAGCAGGGTGAGGTGAT